GCTGAAGATGTGCTAGACTAGACTAGAAGCTGTGCTGTGCTAGTCGGAGCTGTATGAAAACGAGATTCATTGTGACACGATATTTTCTGGTGTTTTCGTCGTAAGCTGCCGATTACAAAAAGAGGAAACTTGAAATTTTTTAAGTGATGGTATTTCCTAGTAATGGTTGGTTGGTGTATATAATGACAATGACATGGAACCATCAAATTCATGTTTTTTGTGATGATACTTCTCTAGTGACATAACACATGAAGTGTTCATATTCATCATCACAAACGTCCCAGTGTCATCATGCCCACTACACCACTCCATGACCCGCGCCTCATCTCTCTCGCTCTCAGTGTCCACGGCCGATCACTCTGACGCCGACTGTCTGGTCATCTCGTTCCTCTCTCATGGTGATACCGGTGTACTGTACACCTACGACGAGATCCTGAAGTCGGACCACCTCTGGACCCGCTTCACGGCCGATAGGTGTCCGTCGCTGGCCGGAAAACCAAAGATTTTCTTCATTCAGGTGGGTTGGGGAGGATATGGGGTTAACCTGTGGGTAAATGCTGCGCATGCATTTCTTAGGGAGTATGTTAGCCGATTTATGAGTGCTCATTACTCGTGATGCGTTAGTCAGGGAACTTATTCTTCTCAATGATTATCACACTTCCATTAATCAATATCCAGTATTCGACAAAGGCATGCATCAACTCTAATAAGTGTGATGATGCGCCTTGCGTAATGCGTATGTATATCTGCTTCTACGCGATACGTGTTCCAGCTTTTAAGCAAGTTACCAGAGCCCTACCAATCCCTGAACAATAGGCACGGGCATACATATCTACATAATGGTTCTTCAGTCAACACTTGCATCGTAATTTTGCGGAGCCTGCTCACTGATCCACCCCCTCTCCCCCACAGGCGTGTCAGGGTGACCAGCTAGACGGCGGCACCACTCTGGTGCCCCGTCGCACCGCCACTGACGGCGACGTGGTCTCCTACAAGATTCCCACGCACGCCGACTTCCTCCTGTGTTTCTCCACCGTGCCCGGCTACTACAGCTGGCGTAATACCACGCAGGGCTCGTGGTTCGTGCAGGCGCTTGTCCACTGCCTGCGCCAGTACGGACGGCAGCTGGATCTCCTGACGGTGATGACGCGAGTTAACAGACTGGTGGCCACCGACTTCCAGTCCAACTGCCCGGGTAAGTCAGCGTAGATCGTGGAGTTCCGGGAAGGGTTCCTTAGAGTTTGACCCAATCGTTGGGTCTTCTCTGGTGAAGGGTAAAACAATTCGCCAAAATAGCACTGGCGAGGTAGACTCCAGAGGTCCTGGAGGAAGAGCTGGAAAGTTAACTCACTACTTTTGCTTTAGGGTGCTGGGTGTGTGCTTTATGATAATTCTATTGCTGTAGGCTTCATAGGTGCAAACCCTTTCATTTTGATCGGCTGAATCAGAAAGATGCCTAAGAGTTTTCGGAACAAAGTTCAGCATCTAATCACGTCCAGCTACCGATGTTCTGAGGCTTTCTGTTCCAATTTTTGTCTAAGGAGGACAAGAGATTGATACAAAGTGCTGAAGGCTGTCTAACACGATTTTTTCGTGAGGTTCGTCGTTTTCCTAAGTCATCGGTGAATTGGTCGGGCTTTGACAGGTTTTCCCGTCGACATGTTTGATTGAACTGATGAGTAGTTTGTGATTCGACCTCCCTCCATTTAAATATATCGATGCTATGTCGTCAGGCTGTTTTGATTCCGTAAGTATCGGTATCTTGCTTCCTTTTATGCCTCTGTAACTTTTCACTCGCAAATTACAAAATTCTGCCAAATGTTTCAGACCAAATGTTGACATAAGTACAGCCTGCCATTTGCTGCTTCAATTATTAACTAGATATCACCTCGAATTTCTATCGTACTATAATATCGACTCATGGCATAACATCAATTGAATCGATGAAGCTTGTTCAGTGTCACTGTTATGGGTATAGCTTGCTAGCTTATCGTTTTACTAATCTTACTTGACCTCTCGTATCTCCTTCAGGTGATCCGGGCATGCACCAGAGGAAGCAGATTCCCTGCATCAGCTCCATGCTCACCCGGGACGTTTTCTTCACGCCCAAGGTTCGCCGCAACTAAGGTCCCCCCGGCATACAACGCACGTGCCAGCATTTCTGAGCTAGGGGATTATAGGTGGCGCCACAGCTGTGGGTAGAACGGACGAGAAGTGAGGTCTTGCATCGACCTACTTCAACTGGCAGCGAAGCGAAGCAGTTGCTAGATGATACGAGCAGTGTTGCCAGGTTTTGTGGACTGTCTTGTCCAGATCGGTGTGGGCTGTTATGATGGGCATGCGCCTCAGGCGGAGAAGTGATGAGGGAGCTCTGAGCTGGGCAAGCTAGGTCCTATTGATAGTGACCGCCTTAGTTGTGAGGTACGCACCGATATCAAAAGACGTTGGCCCTCCAAACGTTGCGTAGATGTCGACGTACACTGTGCGGGGCGTTAGTTCGCTAGTTTGCGGAAACCCTTCAGTAGATTCACTCGGGTTCGTGTGAACGTTATGCTTTGTCGATGCTATTTATAACAGGCCAGTGCTTACTATCTCCAACCAGTAATATCACAAGCGCTATTTCTGCTTTCTTACTAGCTCATCTTATCGCTTTCAGGGAGATCTTGATATTAACTTTGGGCTGATGCTTCTCTGATAGTTGCTAGATCGGCGAACAGTACAACACGCAAAACTTAGATACAACATCCTGCCTTTGGTGTGCGACACTAACACCATAAAGATACAACATTCTGCACAATGTCACAAGACCACTTAGGAAACAGCACTGCACTCGATGTTGTCGGAACACCCAGCCAACTTTCAGTGGATCACATGTTCTTTCGGAGGTCTTTCGGATGTTTGTGTGGAAGTGTGTGGAACGTGGACAGAAGCTGGCTCATTCTTCAGTGGTATCCCCGCCCTGGCCGTTTCACTGTGGATCTAATCCACCATGCCATATCACCAGATTGTTGTTCAAGAACCCGTCCGATTTTGTCTAGTGTTTTAGGTATTATGTCAGGTGAAACCTTGGATCTTCTGAAAGAGGTCCATGTTTGTATGAAATCCGCTGGTAAGTTACGGTTGTCTCATGTCTGTGACTTCTAACGTGATTCGCTATCGTCTCTATGCTTTTGTCACAATTTAGCAATAATAGAAGTCGCATTAGCTTGACGTCGCTTTTTTGTTGTAATTACTTACTGATAGTTTTGACTGATGAAATTTGGGCCACTGGTGATGACATTTAGTTGGTCTAAGCGCTACTCACTTTACGGTAAAGTGACATTGAAGTTTATTTTGTGTCTTCCGTGCTTGACGCAAGATTATGGGCCGCTGTATCCCATCTTTGATTGCATTTAAACACGACATCTGAATAGATTTATGTTCATGTAATTGCTCATCATGTCAACTGAAACTAATCTGTACACTTGCAGCTATGTTCTACACACTTGAGTCTTGACCAGACTCACGATGGCTCCTTGCGTTGACTTGTCCGTGCCCGTGAATGCTTGAGAGATGGTTGTTTCAGATTATTTCCGTCACAAGTGTGTGTCGGGCTGCATATGCTGCGTCCATAGCCTGCCTCTTTTGTGGTGAACATGATATCAACGCTAGCAGTTGTGAAGTGTGATTGGAAATAAACAATCCGGCGGATGCTGTTGGTTGTCTGGTCAGTGTTTATCCGTGATTGGGTAAAGGCTCTGGTTTCTCGAGGCTTAACGAATAACGAGGTGAAGTATGAGAAGGGTTTTGTTTGGTGATGGAGCTTAGCAGTGAGCATGGTACGAGGCTGCAATATCTTGTTTCCCAGAATGAAAGGCTTACCGTAAGGTGGGGCTATTTGAGACAGTGGGGCTATTTGAGACAGTATTTAAAATTGGTATAAAATAAAAACCGTTTGAAATTTATGCTTAATTTTTGCTCAGGCGATTTACTGCTCGATTCCACACCTTCCTGAGCAAAAATATCACATAAAAATCAAACGCTCTTCATTTTATAGCGATTTTAATTACTGTCTCAAATAGCCCCACTGTCTCAAATAGCCCCACTTTACGGTGTGTTGTTGGATTTTCAAATATTATAGAATATGCAGGGGCTCCTGTTTTTGTGTGTGAAAGGGAGAGGGATGATACCCTGTGTCGGTGCCACTGTGGGGTCATTGATAGGTATTTGATATTCTAGTACCTACCAAGAATGGTGCGTAATATAAAATAATAAGTCTTCGGTCATCTGGAAAAACCAAAATATTTTTTTTTATGGGGGCCGCTGGATAGGCATGGAGTTAGTATTCTTAATTATGCAATATGCATCGTTCTGTGTGCCTAATATGAAAACAATAATTATAACTGAAGGTACCCAGTGGCGGATCCAGGGGGGGGGGCAAAATGGGCATTTGCCCCCCCCCCCCAAACGGCATAATTTTAACATTACGCCTATGGACGATGCATGGAAAGAATCGATAAATTTTATGGCCGCCCCCCCCCCCAAACCTCTGAGCTGGATCCGCCTCTGAATGTACCTAACGCACTGGCGAATGCAGGGGCATTTGTAAGGCCCTATATCTAGACCGGCATTTGAGGCGAATGCCCCCTAGTAGCGCCCGAAAATTTGTCGTTTTATAAAAAAGAGAAATGAACTATTATTAGACAAGGTTTGCTTGAAACTGCATAGCAGCTTCAAGCAAACTTTCAGCAGTTGCAAACGGAAGGAATCGAAATTCGAGGAGCTCTCGGAATTTGGGAAACTACGGGAATGTGACCCCCCCCCCTCCCCTCCGCAGCGTCCGAGACAGCGTACCTGAACCCGCCTATGACAGTAAGCTATAGCTAATACCAAAGTATATAAAAACACTGCTAAGACATTTCTGCCGTTACGCTTTCATCCCTCGTATCGATTTGCCTCTGATTTAGCATCTTTTCTTCGCCCGCTGACCGCTCTCTCCTATCGCAGCCCGATCCCACGAGCCACGAGTGGCGGTAGGGCCTTGGAGTGGCGCCGAAGCCCGAACTCAGTGCTTTGCTCATTCATCATTGTGAGCCGCGACTCCGCACCACTCGCTGTCAACTGTGAGCTGGGAGGCGGGGAGGCGTGTGACCTTGAAAGTCAGCCAATGAGCGTCCGGGCGGACTCAGTCGGCGCTGGGACGCCGTCGCCGCCGTGGCGTTCCGCCTCCGCCCGCTCCGTTTACCAGTGGACGCTGGCGCGTCAGGACCTGTTAGCGCTTTGTGGTAACAGTGCAGTGAAGTGGCTGCGATCATAGCAGCCACGAAGAACTCCACTCAGCATGTGTTTGATAGTGATTTAGTGCTCCGGCTCAGCCATGACGGGAATAGAAAGTGCGTCGCCAGGCCAGAAGGGACCATACGGACGGCCGCGGAGCTATGATCCCGACTTCCACGGGCCTGTTCATAAGCGCTCGTGCACGGACATTCTGTGCGCGCTGCTGTTCTTCGTGTTTATGATCGGCTGGGCTGGGGTGGGGGCGTATGCCATCTACTACGGCGATCCGGAGATTCTCGCCTTTCCGACTGATTCAGATGGACGCAAATGCGGCCGCGATCCAGAGGTTGCTGATAAGAAATTTCTCCTGTACTTCGACCTCACACAATGTTCTTCGCCGATTGTCCTCATCGCCGGCTGTCCGACTCCGCAGGTCTGCGTCAGTCAATGTCCTCAAGAGAACCGCTTCGCCGTCCCCTACGGCCTGGACGAGCGTCTCTGCACAGATGCTGCCCGCAGAAGCCTGACCTGCCGGCCGGGGGTGAACCCGATGGACCGCAGTCGCTCCTGCAGAAGTCTTCTTCGAGACACCGATGACTGCGCGCCGTATACCTTCCGCAGCGCTGCGGTGCTGGGACGCTGTGTCCCTAACCTCGGCATCGGCGATTTTGATGAGGATAATGACAAGGTCAAAGATGCAGATGGCAAGGAGATGAATGTCACCATGGACGCGCTCTACAAGGGAGCTGAGAAGCTGGGTGTCTTCGTCAGCCTCAAGGACTTCGGTACGTATAAGATCCACCTCTCCTCCCCTACTCACATGTTGACATTCCGGGTGGTTCACATGACTTCAGCCATATGTGTGTGTTTCCTTTTTTAATTAACCGTAAAAGCTGTTAGTTAATCCTCGCAATTGTTGGACTGCTCCTCCCATTTGTTGATCGCTGTGATATGTTCACATGACACCACCGGATGAGATATACGGTATATGCAATATGCATTCCCTGGTGGAAAACGTTCGATATCCGCGCACATGCTGACTGCTGCTTTCACTTGACTCGGGCTGTCCAGGATCTGGATTCCTAGCATATGACGTCATGCAAACGTAACATGGGGAACTTGACTGACAAGTCTGAGTATGACTCAGGTCACCTTAAGTAACTTAAATGCGTAAATGGAACCATCATGACAAAGGTAGCATCAGTATCTTATGACGATGCGTCGCATACTTCTACTCTCTTTTTTTCATCCGCTAAACATTGGCTTTAACTGGCTAGATCATTCGTCATTCGTCTTCAAGGCCATCTTTGTTGTGGTCTATTCATAGCCTTATCCATAGGTAGTATGAATCATGGAACGTAGATGGTTCATGTTATTTGTGCCTTATCTTTTACGTACCTAATGTTCCTCTTGCTGCTCCTCAGTGCCACCCTCCCCATCCCCCTCCAGCAGTCTTTGTTGGCTTGTCCTCTCCCCGCCCCGCCCCCTCCCCGGCCCGGGTGGCGACCTTGTTGCTTTGTTGGCCCTGTATCGAACGCGACTGCTTATACCCCAATTGGTTGGAATGGGAATAGGGTCACACCCAACCATTTCAGTAGGTACCGATTGCGTGGTCTGCCACACAACCTCCCCTCCCCCTCCCCATGGTTTAGCTGTCACACCCACCCCTTCCGCACCTCCCCCTCCCCCTTCCCACTGCACAGGGAAAATATCTACCATTGCCAAACTATGTCGGGTACGTTTGCGTACAGGGAGTGACTCAAGGTTCCTTCCGGGGGACTGTGGTTTGGACGTCCGGATCAAATACAGAGAATGTCTGGTGGATATGGCGTGGCTGGTGATCCGACGCGGGCCGGCAGTGGAGCAGTCCACATTCCACTAAATTATAAGTGCACTGGACTTGAGGCTGAACTTTCACTAAGACGTTTTCTTTTACGTGCCTACGGATCAACACGAGTCTAGCTTCTGCAAGAATGTCTGGCGATATTTCGGGCACATGCTGTTATTTTCCCTAGCACTCACTAGTAATCTTGCACTCACTTACATAATTGCTCTTTGGCTAGGTTTTCTTTGAACGTCATTCGATTGGGCTGGTTTCAGTTTCCAGGATGTAGGGTCCGGTGGCGCCATTGAAGTCACATGCTCGTGCCACTGGATAGTGGATATACCTCGGGCTGGGTGTCACTGCATGCTCGGTCTGAGTTCCGAGAAGGGAACCTATAGCACGGGGACCGTGATGCAACAAGGGGTTGCTAGCCATGCAAAGCGTGATTGAACATGCAAAATTGAGTGGAACCGGGCACCGATGCAACAGGCTGTACATATGTTGACTCACTGATCAGGGGATAACAGTTTAAGGGGTATTTTCGAGTTCCGGTCAAGGGTGGGCCGTGGATCGCTTTTGTCTAGAAATTGTTCGCTCTGTAGGTATGTTTTAGTAAGCTGTAAGCTGCTTTAGGTACCTAAGTTGTAGGTAAAATGTAAGCACTGTTAGTTGAGTAGGCTCGTTTTTGTATAGGGGAAGGTGGGGTAAGACGGACCAGCTAAGGTTTGAGGCCGCATATCTTGCTACACTGCTCTCGTAATTCATATTATTTATAGTCTTCGGAATGCTCAATCCTTCCTCTGTTGATATGTGTAAAGACTAAATTTCAAATTAAAGACATCTAGGTGGTGGATGCTGTTAAAGAGGGACATGTCAAAAACTCAGACAAGAAAAAACGTGGGGTAAGACGGACCACCCAGCAGTGCCTGCTATCCGTTCATGTGTGTTACACTTCTGCTCTGTATTCTTGTAAGAAAAAGTGACCAGAATGGTAGAATAACAAAATGAGCCATTATTCTTTACTCATGTGTGATGGAAGTGCAGCTAAAAGCTAGGAACATATGTGTTGATTGTCGTTTGGCATGAATGCATGCTAACTGAGCACTTGCATGCATGGCTCACATGCAACAAAGACTTCTTCCTGAAAAAAATAGCTTACTTAAACTTGTGTCAATGTTTTGGAAAAGAACTTTCCATATACAGGGTACAATGTAGGGGAGAGAGGTCATATTGCGCCACCTTAAGGATATCGGCCTATTACGGCTAAAGTTGACCAGCTGTCATGCTTGATGATATCTCAAATTGTACCTCAGTTATTTTGGCATCAAATTACAACTCCTAATTTATATCACACCCATAAAAATTAACAAGAGAAAAGTTTTTTCGACACACCTGCAAAGGGCGCATTTGCGGACTACCCCATCAAAAAGCGCCCATGCCTCTCATGTAAAAGCGCCCTATTAAAAACAACGGTTTGCCACCTAACTAAGTAGCCTATTTGAACGTGTCAGCCCATTAACCATTTATGCTGTGAAGGCTAAGGTAATGGTAAGGTGAGCGCTCTAATAATCAAAGTGTTCAATGAAATGTGTCCCACTGTCCCAACCACCAGATGCTGTTTCTCTGGGTTGAAGAATAGGCCGCAAATAGGGTGGGCGCAATTACGAATGGAACACATTTTTCATGAGCTTCAAATATGGCGAGGACAGCGAAGCCACGGTGGTGATAAACTTTCAAAACTACCATTAAACGAGCAATTAACAATGATTATTAGTTGAATCACTATCTCTAAGATAAACCATGACACTAGCAAAGGTCGAAATAGACTGTTTCGCGTAAGAAAATAGAGGAAATCACAAAAAATGGTCTGCGAGAAAGCTGAGACACCTCACCTGCCCCCGTGGACCGGAATAAGAACGAGTTATTGGTGGTGCAGTAAATGCACACATTCGAGCATTCATTCGAATCGAATTTTGGACAGGAGGAAGGTGTGGCGCATTTAAGAACATGGCGCAATATGACCTCTCTCCCCTACCACCACAGGGTAAGATGGACCACAGTGGTCCGTCTTGCCCCAAATCTAAATTATGTCATTATCATGACGTATATGTCAAATAGCCCAACATTGCAAAACCTTGCCTTTCCTAAAGTATGACTATAACTAAGTTTATAACTTTGTTCTTCACAGTTAAGTGCAAAATAGAAACTAATCATGCAAGAAAGGCGCCGTAATTGAATCACCCGTAGACCTCTTATATTAGATCGGTTTGACGAAAAACAACATTTTTCTCAATAACTCAAAAGCTATGCATCCTAGCAGCATGAGCTCAAGGTGGCCATTGTTCCGAAGGAAAACAAACATAGTGAGTGCATAAAGCAGTAGATACCAGCAGCGGTTCAGCCGGGAGGGCTGGTGGTCCGTCTTGCCCCGCTGGGCCGTCTTACCCCACCTTCCCCTATAGGTAATTCAGAATGTTATATTTTTATGACTTAGTTACGTATCTAAATCGCAATGCTTTTCTCGTTAAAGTGTTTGGCAAGGACAATGATGCGTCATATGAACGAGCACGCTTTATGACAAACGTGCTCACATGCGTGGAAAACATACAGATGCCAACTGATAACAACACGCTTAGATAGCGGAAAACAGCCTGTAAGCGAACGGCACCCGTACCAATTCACTCGAGCTCAATGTCTTTTTTATGCTCTTGCGCTTGGTAAATTGCTAGTTCTTCAGTGCTTACATATTACATAACACGCAGGTAATTACGCAAGCAGGATTGAACTGTAAAAAAATCAAACGATTCCTGCTCCAGCTTTTATCTCCTCCGAAAAAAATATAGCAGCTTACACGAAATTTTCACACGCCGCCCGATCTAATCTCTCATTTTATCGGTCTAGTCCGTCACAAAGGCAAGGTATTTCTTGCAGTTAAACTCGCAGCTCATTTTTAAGCGGGAAGGGGCCGTCTAATTCAGACCTGATGTAAGCGAGACTCTCGGATCCCTGGGCTGCAGGGGCTGCTAAACTCGGCAGCAGACAGTTGACGGCGCTGTCCTAAACGAAGGCGATTGCTTTCACCTTGAGCTTGTGTCTATCCTCTTGTGAGGTGGCGTGATGTGATCAGCGAAAATTGGAGAAAGGATGGTACAGTAGCGCTGATCATTTGCTTGTTGCTATGTGTATACCTACTAACACTCCATGCAATTATGCCAGAGGATCTGAACCTACATAGTTGGTAGGCGATGTCGATATAATACATCATTGTGTAATTCTGCTCGGTCGTCCCAACTGGACGCTACTCGCACACAGTCCAATAGACTATCAAAGGCGTTGACTGCTGATATTATATGGTTTGTTTGCGGTAGTGTAACAGTATTTTAAACACTGTTTGTAACAGTGTAACAGTGTTTAACGAACATTGTTCCATTGACGAATACAGGAAGGTGGCAATGGCATTCAAGTTTTAACTCTGCGGGCCGCGGGGAAGAGCTTAGGTATCTACAATCTACTCCCCAAAAAGTTATCCAAAGGAACTCTTGGCCTGTGGTTACCTACATCGTTTCCTTAGCTATTAATTGCCGTGCAATTGAAAAATGATTATAAAGTTTCCTTTTTGCGAGGAAAAAGAATATTTTTCATCAATTTAGACACTACAGGGGGCACGAAACATGTCCCTAATTCCCTCCTCGAAACAAGTTGTAGCCCCTTCGGAGCATTCAAGTTGTAGTAACCATCGAATCGGAGCATTCATTGCATCTGGAATCTGGTCCGTGGAAGCCTTATTTTGAGACCATTAGTACCACTGTCATTGATATTATATAGTTAGCAAAATAACTTGCCGTATATCTTCCATTTAGCTAGCCTCGAATTTTTCCTCTCCACGTCTGGATGTCGTCATATACCCCTGTGATATCCGTCGTGACGATAGCTAACTTATGCCTCTCCGCAACTCAGCTCGAATTTTATCCCGTTCTAGGCGTAAAGGCCATCAGTCACCAGCGCGAGTGCTGTTATTTGAGCATCTAGCTAACCATGTTTTTACACAAGTAACGCCTCGCACCTTTTATCTAACTTCGACTTCCTTCCGTTCCAGGTGTGGAGGCGGTCAGCGACTACCGCGAGTCCTGGTGGGTGATCGTGCTGGCCCTGGTAGCCTGCATGGTCGTCTCACTGCTCTGGATCCTGCTGATGCGCTTCGTCGCCGGTCTGATGGTGTGGCTCGCCCTCCTGGGCTCCCTCGCCGGCCTCATCGGTGGCTGTGTCTACACGTTCATCCGGTGGAGACAGCTGGCTGATGTGCCTGGGGCTGATAAGAAGATTAACCCGCTGGATGCGTTCACGAAGGGGTTTGATTCGTTCCTGGAGCTGCAGCAGACGTGGTTGATCTTCTTCATCATCCTCTGCGTGCTGGCGACGATCCTGCTGCTGGTGGTGCTGATCCTCTGCAAGAGACTTCGCGTGGCAATAGAGGTGATCGATCATGCAAGTCGAGCGGTGACCTCGACGTTATCGACGTTGGCGTTTCCGCTACTCCCGTGGCTTCTTCAGCTGGGAACTGTAGTGCTTTTTACAACACTGGCTCTGTACATTGCCTCCATGGGAAGAGCCAAGTACCTGGTCTCGTCTCTGCCGCAGTCCTGCAGGAATGTATGCGGAGGGTACGTCTTCAATGGCACCTGTGACCCGGACGCATTCGAGAAGAGCTGCAGGACTGACTGCCCTGAGGCCGAGTGCCGCTTCGTCCAGTACGAGAAGTTCGAGGTACGTGCCAGTTTGTCGTTTTGAGATATGCGATAGGGTGCCGTTACTTACTTCGTAGTATTTGATATTGCTACTCCACCACAATATTGTGTGTATGTAGTGTTCTTACCTTTTTGCGGATAAAAATGACTGAAAACGTTCAGAACTAATCTAACTTATGTCTCTGTACTATTGTAACGGCCAATGGATTTTACCCTATTAATTATGTAAAAAGCCGTGAAGTAATATATCATTTTGTGAATGTAGCAGGTTATCCAATATACTGGTAAAGCATGTTGATAGACAGACACTCATTAGCCATTACCCACAGATTGAATCGTTTTTTTTTTCTTCACAGCCCGATACTAATCCCTGCGTATGTGTTTCCGGCAGATCGTACCTTACTTACACGCCTACAACATCTTCGCCATGTTCTGGTCGCTGTTCTTCCTGTCTGCGATGGGCGAGATGGTTCTGGCCGGCGCCTTCTCCTCCTGGTACTGGACGTTCGACAAGTCCAAGAACCTGCCGCCGGCGCCACTCTCCTCCAGCATGGGCCGCACCTTCCGCTACCACTTGGGCACGCTGGCGTTCGGGTCGCTCATCATCGCCATCATACGTGTCATCAGGGTGACACTCGAGTATATCTACAAGAAGTGCAAGAGCAAGCCGGGCAGTCAAGTGGCGAGGGCGATTCTCTGCTGCTGCCGTTGCTGCATGTGGTGCCTGGAGAAATTCATGCGCTTCATCAACCGTAACGCGTACATCATGACGGCCACGTACGGCACCAACTTCTGCAAGTCCGCAAGAGACGCCTTCATGCTCATCATGCGTAACGTCTTGCGAGTGATTGCCGTTGACGCCGTCTGCGACTTTTTGCTGTTCCTCGGCAAAGCGCTGATCACGATTGGAATCACGGTGGCTTCATTCTACTTCTTAGATCACCGAATACCGATCGAAGGACTGGATAAGTTTGTTCCGGAGACGCACTACAGCTGGTTGCCCGTGGTCACGATCGCCGTCGGCTGTTTCTTCATCAGCAGTCTGTTCTTCAGCGTTTACAACATGGCAGTGGACACGCTGTTCCTCTGCTTCCTGGAGGACCTGGAAAGGAATGATGGGTCCGAGGAGAGGCCCTACTACATGTCGAAGGATATGATGAAGGTCTTGGGAAAGAAAAATAGGCGAGTGAAAGCGGACTGAAGGCGGGGGAGCTGTGGCAGATTTGAAACGGTAAGCTCGTGAACGGCCACTAACATCACATTCACAAACATGGTGAGAAGCGCAAAAATCAAAGTGAAGGCTGTCGTCATAAAATGACATGATAAACACAACAGTGTTCACAATACAATTAGGTTCAAATGAAGCCGACAATAACTTCTGACAATACTTTTTGAAGAAAAAAAAAAACGTTCTGATGTTGGCTGCTTTAAAAATGTTCGATGTTGTTACATTTCATCCAATGTGTTACAACATGATTCAAGTGTCTAAACTAGTTACTCCACTTGAATGGTTGGTGTATGAACTGTGAACCCCCTGGGAATTGCGTGATAGCGTCCGATGTTGAGCGGCTGTTGTCTGCAAGTGCGCACCACTGTCCAGTATTCAAGTTGTAATGTCACTTGTGGTGTAGAAGTACAACACGAACACAGGTTAACCCAGTGATCATGCACATTGTAAGGTACCCATTTTGAAATGTCCCTTTGGCTTTTTCGAGGTCTTTTATGCTGTTGTCAGTCCCCAAAAATCAGTAATCACCATGTTTGTGATGCTATTTGCTTATAGCCTTGATAGATGATTACCAGATTGTGAGCTGAGCCTGATTGCTTCGTTTTTTTATATAAGATCCGAGTATGTGCGCTGAAGATCATTTGCTACGAACTCACAACTTTCGTGGCTTTCATTTCTAGCATATCTTTCATCCAAGGCGAATGCGCCGTACAAAATGATGAAAATTTTCAATGTTTTGTACAAGTGCTTCATATTTCAGCTCCGTTTTCAATCCTGTCTTCTAATAAATCGTGCCAAGAGCGTGTGCAAAACGGTTATGGTGATCTGGAGTGAATAATACAGCAAATTCGTTTTCTAGACGGGTTATAGCAATTGGCAGTGGATGATGCTCTTGGGGGGAAAGGCTGAAACTTATGTGATAGTTTGGAGCGGTTTAGCCTCACTGCTACTGAGAGCCGGCTGTAAGCAAAGCTTTTCATTGGTATTGTTCACAACCCCTGCTGCTGTCCGCTTCCTAAACGGGCCAGTGGTTACTGATCGTTACCTACAGCTACATTGTAGGTACCTAAAGTGGGCCAGAAGTTTCGTAACGAACTTCACGGTTTGTATAAATTATAAAATGTCGAGTTAAAGGGACACTCCCACCTTAACATTAGTTTTGAGTTGAGATAGCCAAATTGGTGGCCATGGCCTGCAAATACCGGTTTGGGCACTCACAACATCGACAAATGCTTTAATTCGGAGATATCAGTCCCACGCACAAGGGGGAAAAGCTCAAATTATTGAGCGCTCAAAATATTGAGCGTGTGACGTCAGAGGCTCCCATAGGCGTAATGCTGAGGGCTCAAAAAATTGAGCCATTTCAGGAACACGTTTTGCAAAAGCAACTCGCAACACCTAGGGAGAAATGGCAACACCCTAGGAGAATCACTAATGATGCAAAACAGATTAGGCTTTCATATTTTTCACTGCTCAAGCTTCAATGATTGGGGGAACACCAATTTCTAGGTCGAAATCTTACGGCATACCAGGATGACTTAAAAACAGGCCAATATTTATGTCGAAATAAAAGTTATTTTTTGTCCATTCACGTTTTTTACTAGGGTTCTGTTGGAAAGAGCATTTTTCATACTACCCAAAATGATTGCGATTCAATTTCACATTACCCATATCGGAGAATATTTTTCATTTGGCGGCGCCGTTTGTTTATTTCGTCGCGACGTCTCCGGTCGCGTGGTTGTCGTCGTCCTTGTGTTGAGGGTAAGTTTTTATCGTTTTAGTTGTACTTAGATGTTAAAAGGTACACTGAAAAGTTTGAATATGCTGTGATTTTAAATTTGGAAACACGTAAACGTCAATCAATTCACGTTTTCCTCGATTTGCGTGCAGATAAGTAACTGTCGACGAAAGTGGCGCCATCCGATATGATGTTTTGAAGGAAGGAGACACAACATATTTACGTGAATTTTTTTGTTTTTTAGTGGTATAAGTGCTTCAAAGAGGCTGTGAATGTTTTCTTCACACAATTTTTCATTAGCTATGATGAGGTAAAAGGTAGTTTCAGTCTTAACTTTCATATAATTGACATTAAAACATATGATAGTCCACTGCTATCAGTGATTGAGTACCTTGATATTTGGCATTTCTTATTAATTTGAATGTATTCTCTATCCATATGTCCTGATAGTAAGTGACAATACTCTGCCAATATGTTTCCATAGTTTTCACATTCATTTTCCAGTCCTTTACATAACATCGCAATTTATAATTAACAAATCTCAACTCCTTCATTACTTCACAACACTGACAGCATGACAGACTGACAGTCAACTATTGTGTGGGTGAATGCTTATGCTGAAACAGGATAGCCACTTTGCTGACTGGCTCGCTCATATGAAATAAGATAAAAATGATCCTTTATATCATTTCCATCTGGAGGATCGGAGTCAACGGAAAAGGAAGGCCACTTTCAAGCCTCAAGGTCTAGGGCGCCAGACGCCAGTCGGCAGTCACCACCAAATTTATAATCGATTAATTCATTATTATACTTTGAGACCCTTAGGTCACTGGATCAGCATCACATTTTCAGTTTCAATATAGTAAAGGTTTTTATTTGTATGATGTGAAATATTTTCCTGAATCAGAATTTAATTATCCCTAGGTACCTGGTAGAGGTTTTGGATTTAATGCTCATTGTTGGTGTGCAGTCAGGATTTTTTGACAGGTCCAGATAGGGAATCCTGAGCAATTTTATAGTAAAGTGGTCTCCTTATAATCACCACACATTTTATCAAAAGCATTTGCAGAATTCATTCAATGAAGAATTTTATCAATGTTGCACCCATTTCTTAGACGACCTAGGCTGCATCTTTTTTTTAGTTCCTGTTGTCCTATGACATATTTTCCGTTTTGTTCCACTGCATAAAGAAAAAAATCGTTTGAGATCACCAAACAGCTTTTCTTTTTCTGGCAGGTCTGCACAACCAAGCGGTCGCTGGCGAGGACGTCGGCCGTCTCTGTGGGTAAGGTCATCTGCTCAGCCTTTGTGGAGATCAGCAAGACGTCACTAAGATGAAGACTTCGCTGGAGCAGAAGCCGCTGACCCGTGTCCGATCGGGCAGGTCATGCTCGACGGCACGAGCCACAACTCGAACGACTCGGTGACATCAACAACATGGTGGAGCAGGTGAATGAGTTTGGCGACGTGTTGTGCGACTGCAAGAAGGGTTGTCTGCGTGTTCTGGCCGGCGGAGCGGCGACGCTGCGCAGTCTGTGCTGGCGGTGAGCAGCTGGCCGTGGTGACCGCGCGCGCCCACATGCGCCGACAACCTGTGCGGCTTCGACGGCCCGGGACAGCCCGATGCCGCCCACTATGCGACGCCGACCGCGCACTGTCCGCACGGCCACATGGAGGTGTGCCCGCGCCTTTTGCCCGCACGCTGCTACCTCGCAGCTGGTCTGCAACCACGCCGTCGCCGCCTGTAGCCCGATAACAAAACGGCTGTCTGATAATGCCGCGTGTTCTTTGTGATGTTGCTACTGTGGTCGTTGCTACTGCTGGTCTGAGACTCGATGTTTCCATTCGTCTTTTACATGTTAAGGATTTGATAATGATAAGCTTAGTCCGAGCTTAGGTCGTTTATATCATTTGTTATATGGCATATTTTGGATCAAAGCAGTACCACACTGCCTCCTGCTTTTGTGATGTATGCTGGCAAGACGCAGGTTCCGGTCGCAGGTCACCCGGACCCGGTTCCAATGTGGTCGGGCTGGCATGCGATAATGTGATGTTGTTTTGTTCGTCTCTGTGTTCCACATTTGATGTTTGTGAATCTAACCCACATTGTATAGTATTTTTGTTTGTTTGCGGCCGATGGCCTTGTAAGTTGTAACCGTGGCAATACAGTTTTTCCTGCTATAATTCTCCAATATTCAAGGGTGGGTGGATACCTCTGTATTCACGTATTCCCTTCTCCCAGTACAGTCAGAGAATATCAATTACAGTATTCATACGGATTATTCAAGCCTTGTATAATTATTTGAGGTGTGCCGAATCCGAAAGACCGATAAAACTACTAGCGGAAAATGTGACATGATGCCATGGGTTTGTGAAAAGTTTAGGTACCACGTAGCATTCAACTTCCTGCATTTCTGTTTCAACTCAGTTTAACGTATTTCAACGAACATAACATCAAAAATGGCAGCCAGTACCGGCTTCACCTGTCACGGAGAACGCTCAAAAAATTGAGTGTAGATGCTGGCCGGCACTCAATTTTTTGAGCGCCAGCTGACTGTCGTCTGTCGTGGCGCTCAATTTATTGAGTATCGCGGTCCCGAACGACAAGTGGCGCTCAAAAAGTTGAGCGTCTTTAGAGCATTTTCTTTCCAAAAAACACCGATATAAATTATCACGGCGAGTGTTCGAGAAGAAACCTTGTTGCTCTCTCTTGCCATTGATACCTTATTTGGATACGATATTTGCCGTAGTGTGACGCTAAAGGCATTGTAAAATACCATCGTTTCGCCTATTCCTTCATAATGGGGCCCGCTCAATTTTTTGAGCGCTCAATTTTTTGAGCTTTTCCCCCTTGTGCGTGGGACTGATATGGAATTTCAAACTTACAGTTTTCGGATTCTAAGGGGCTAGTGCATTGGTATGCCCCCTTAGAATTTGTGACGTCAGCGGAGATCTAACGATTTTTAAATCTTTTACTAAAACGTTTGGTAGCACGCGGTGGTATATGCTGCTTTGCGCGCAACAAATGCCGCACTTTCAAATAAAGTCGCTAGGAACAGCGGAGATCCCAAAAAGTAAACAAAAGTAAAAGTCTAATATCTTGAAAACCGGTGAATATTTTTCGATGAAATTTGGTAGATATTCGTTTTCGCTCTTTCTGAACCGAGCGACATCACTTTCGTGCCAATTCATTAACTTTTTTGAAGGTGGGAGGGTCCCTTTAAGGAAGGTGTACGATAGCGTTGACGTGTGAGATTTTTAGGCGTTTACTGCTGCACATTAGATGGACGAAGGTCACGCACGGCTGTCCTTAGTCTAGTCCAGCGCAGCGGGGTTTGTTTCCACATGTGTTTTGAAGGACGATCAAAGGGCTCAGCATCACAACACACAGTGTGGGTACACTGAATAGTGCATACGGCATGCCGAATATCTTTTAACGGGCATCTCGCTCAATATTTCTCTATGTGGCCTTGACACCATGCTTTTTATCCCCAAGTAGCTTGTGTGTTTTTTCTTTCTCTAAACTGCTTGATTGTGCCACATAACATCTGATATTTTATGATACTGATCTACTTATAAGCTTCCAAAAACTTTAAAACATTCATATCCTCAAAGCCCAAGCATGTGTTCACTTTCATTGAGACGGTCTGGCGTCTGGCATGGCGGCGTCTCAGCCCTGGTTCCTGGCACCGCCTCAAACCGCGACCTTCAGGCTCCGGCGGATGGGAAGCCTGTGCAATGTGCATGATTCCGCCCCCGGCCACCCCTTCCCCCGGCCGTGCCTGAGTGATGATGAGAATGACCTTAACCTTGGACAGTGCATGCTGTGCTGTGGTGGAGGCTGGGGGCGGGGGAGGGTGGGGGACTGCAGTGCATGTTGGTGGCTATTGGTGCAGCCTACTCTGGTGAATCCCATTCAACGCTTGCCTGCTTTTACTGACAGTTTTGCATGGTTTCTTGCAGGGGGCGGCGTTCCTGCGACCATAGTCGGCAAAGTGGATTATCGTGCCCCTGGATGGTGGGTCAAATCCTCGACCCTGTGTGTATATGATTATTCTACTTCACGTATGCGGGATGTCGTAAGCAGGGATGCGGAGCCGGAGCCGGAGCCGGAGCCGGAGCCGCCGGAGCCGGCATATTTTGCCCGGAGCCGGAGCCGGAGCCGGAGCCGTGAAACAATGTAGCCCGGAGCCGGAGCCGGAGCCGGAGCCGTCAAAAAAGGGGGCGACTCCGGCTCCTTTTCTTTAGAGGAAACAATTATTTACCTAGTTCGGTTTGACAGTAGCGACCGTCGAGGTCCTGGTCAGTGTTCTCTACCTTCAGTGTTCGCATACACGGTTACACCTCGCCTCGCATTCAAAGCAATGCTGCCACCACCTTCAAGGCGTAAAACAATGTGGTATTCAAAATAGCCTTGTTATACAAATACAGTAGCAACGTGCACCAATCCCATCGCCTTTTTTCTTCCATCCGTATTTGATTGATCGCATAGGGGATGTACTTAGTAGAAGCCGGAGCCGGAGCCGCCGGAGCCGGATCATTTTACTCGGAGCCGGAGCCGGAGCCGGAGCCGCCATGACATTTCACCCGGAGCCGGAGCCGGAGCCGGAGCCGATTTTTTTCTCCGGAGCCGGAGCCGGAGTCGGAGCCGTCTGAAATTTCCACGGCTCCGCATCCCTGGTCGTAAGTGATAACCATTTATATTTACTGACAGTTACGCTTACTTAGCTACATATCATTTGCTCAGGGATTTCACTTCATTAAACGATCGTATTCGTTATTCACAATGATGAGCACGATTTTAAGTTCAAGGTGCATCAATTACAGAGGTTATTAGCGACCGAGATGATAATTATCATCTAGTAATATCGGTCATCGACCAGGAAAAGTGTAGAGTGACAGATGATAGAAATAAGAAACATGATTCCATGCTACCAAGATTTTGAGTGTTTTGTCTTGCGGTCTTGATGTAGTAACCTTCTTTCACGTCCGATGACTCTACCCAGTGCCTTTGTGACTCATCAACGCCTGGCTTTGAATCACAGGAGGCCGTTGTAATCGAGCAACAAGGAACTCGCGTGCAGAAACTAGTTTGTGTCACGTGTGTTTCCCGTTACAAAACAGAGTGCACTGTTCCCTGTACAGAGCTGTATTGTCGGACGCGGGTGCGATATTGCGTGGCTATAAGTGCTTAGTGCTCCTATGAGTCTCAGTGCATTTAGGGCGAATACTGCGTAGTTAGATCCATTTTCAGTATCAGTGTCAGTGTGCGTGATCGCATCCTTCCGGTCACAGTCCTGAAGTTATGCTTTGTCTTTCATATATTCCCGGCTAATTGTTCATCCTATCTATATAGTGTCTTCCTTACCTGATTTCTCACGTGTCAATAGGGATATATGTGAAAACGGTTTCCACGCCTAATCGCGTAATATCGGTACCGTAAAGTGGGTCTATTTGAGACAGTGGGGCTATTTGAGACAGTATTTAAAATCGCTATAAAATGAAGATCGTTTGATTTTTGTGTGATATTTTTGCTCAGGGAGGTGTGGAATCGAGCAGTAAATCGCCTGAGCAAAAAATTAAGCATGAATTTTAAGTGATTTTTATTTTATAGCAATTTTAAATACTGTCTCAAATAGCCCCACTGTCTCAAATAGCCCCACCTTACGGTACCTCACATTTGGCTTGGCAGGTGCAGGCAGATGCCTTGTCCCAGGTGCCCAATGTCCAACTTGCTGTGATCTTATGGAGCTTGGTTATCCAGAAGAGTCAGAGTCCAGAGAGTCTCTCACAACGTCACAGGGTATCACATGCGGTATAGCCCTCCAAGCGTCGCAGGTCCTATAACCGAGGACTCTTTGCCACGTGGTTAGTTTGCCACGTGGGAGCTGATAACCATGTTTGTCCAGGTTACGCCATCACGTTCCACGTACTGCCGGACCTTATTCGTATATATTATAATGCTTGTGCATGTTGTAGTGCATAATGCATGTTTAATTGTGCATGTTTCGGCCCTCGGTTGAAGGTCTACTTGCATATCTACTTTGTCCCATTGATCTCAATTCAGCGGAAGGACGCCGCCCTGTGTAGGTATTGTGTATCTATATTGACCTAGCTGGAAGCGTTTGTTGTTGATTGGGAAAATAATGAACTCAAACGAATGCTTTGAAGGCTGTTTACTCTGTAGACTATTGGCTGTGTATAGGTCTTTGTTGAAACGACAGCAGCTGTTACAAAAAAGTCAGTAGTGCGGAGCAGTGCGCAAGCGTGGGCTGCGTAGACCTCTGTATCCTGATCAGATGCAGGTATATGGCGCGGCGCATAGACCTGGGTATTGTTACCTACTGACCTCCAATGCATGCCTTGTCACGTGCTGAATTGTAACGGGAGGCGGAATTGGCAATGTGAGCCCAGAATCGGGGTCAGGGAGGGTGGTTTAGTGTTACATTACTGCACCATTAGTTCATAGATCCTGCTTTGAAGCTGCATAACATACCTATCGTATTCTTCGAATGGTACCGTATGAACGTTTGAAATGTATAGTTACATGTATATGCCGTGATATCCTATTAGCGGGTTTAGGCCACATTGCTGGGCGCTGGCAAATAACAGAGGAAGCCTGACTTTCTGACAATCCCGACCTCCATTACATTTTCAGTACGCACCGTCCCGTGACGCAAAAAGTGACGTTTTTGTGAGTCACTTCTTGCTAGGTCCTCAGTCCTGGCATCATTTGCTGGCTCGAGCCGCTGACCTTTTGCTCTAATCTGCCCGTTTTTACCGGTATAAAAACAGCCAGTAGGACAAAGAACGCAGTCTGCGGCGACCGTGCGGTACTGCATGAACCGAGTTGCCAGGGGTTGTGCTGGGTTCCGTTAATAACTTATCGATCGTGTATACAGGGCCGACCATGTGCAATGTTCATCGTGCAATAGGTGTGCATGCCGGTCTCGTGACGAGCTTTGTACTTTGTATATGATCAACACTGTGCCCCGTGTTCATGCAACACAGGAAGGGTGCGGGGCAAGTGTTTCCTGGTGCCTCGGGATATTACGGGATACTTTTTTTTTTGCTAATCTTTTCTACATTTGTTCAACGATATTCATTTGGGTGTGTACATAATTACGTGCTGCATATTCTGAAGTGATGTATACTTGATGTAGTTCAAATGAATTAAGTTCTTATAGATACAAGGATAAACAGTGAGCACACTATTTGGCAGACTTGCATACCCCTCAACACTGTTTGCCTAATGCTTATAATGGACAGGTGGAATGCAGCGTCTTCCGGTACGGCTCTTCGCAGCGGCTCTTCTGGTTGGTCGATTTTGAAGTCATAACTGATGCCTAGGTATATAACTATGTTGTATATTACTGATATGTGTCTGAGAATTTCGATCCTCGAGTAGACAAGCTGGCTTCAAGCAAATAGATATCAGTGGGAGGGTATGTACCGAGCATGGTATCAATACCATGTAAAGTGACAATCTTAGATGGACACCGGAAAGGTTGTCAATTTATCTAACTTCATGCACGTTGAAAATGTTCGTTGGCCATGCCGCTGCCGACGTTGAGATCCTCTGGCATCACCACGGCGCTGTTCCAGTTCTAATGACGTCACCGTGAACAGTTCTGGGACATCCAGGACGCATCACTTCCCCGTTCGTCAGCGTTAGACTCCGCTGGTGGTCCGTCTGAGAGAGAGAGAGAGAGAGAGAGAGAGGAAACAACGCCTCAGCTGGTTTATTGGACTTTCGGGGTGGCTTAGAGAGAGTGGAAGGAGAAGGAGACAGGGGGTAAGCGGCAAGTTTGACGCAGTTTATTGTTTATTTACAACTACGTAACGTATAGGTGGGAAAAGGGAGATGTGGTTTATTGTACCTCAATGAAGATTGACGATACGCTTGTTTAGACACGTTTTTATTTATTTATTTTTTTTTTGGGTGGGGGGTCTCTTGGCGGCCCTCCTTTTGCTCGCTCTTTCAGGACTCTAACCATGAACTTCTCTCCTCTACCAAGTACCACCTCCCCCACACACCTATCCATCGGCTCCAAGCGACCCCCCCCCCCACGCCCCTCTTCCTGTCCTGCCGATGACTGTACGTTTGGTAATGCCTCACGCGTGACTTGGCGGGAAATAGCGTCATGCTGGGGTCAAAAGGTGACAGAATTGATGGCGGGCGGGGGGGATGGGTCATTTGTGTGCAGCATACCATGAACTGCACTTGCCAAGGCTGAAGAACGTACTGCCTGTTGAGGCAGTGAGGGAACGGTATTTCATGAAGCCTTTTGGTCGTGCTTTGGAGGATAAGACCGATAGACGGTTGATGTGGTAGGATGTCTGTCAATGCTCATGTGTTCTGTGTTATACGATGCTAAATCATTTCCTAAAGGAACATTGACCGAATGAGTCTCTAGTCTCCATTCAAGACGCGGTACGGCGGTAGTGTGTTCAATGGAGCACTCAAAGAACCGCAGGAGTGACAATTAGGTGAGTTCTTTTTTCGGTACATTTGGGAAGAGTCTTCTGGTCTATCGGTTTTCATGGTTAAATAAATTCAGTGTCAATTGTTACCTCACAGCTGTAGAGTTACAGGTTCATTGAATCGTTTCCCCGACCTCAGTACCGCTGCAACGTAGATTTGGGGAATCCAGCGCGGACTGTCGACCCCATTGGAGTTGAACCGTCATGTTTGCCCGCTGTAGCATTTCCCCCGTCTGTGTGATTTGTAAGGTTCAAATGACTCAGACTGTTAGCTGACGAGCCGCCTTACCAGAAGGAAACCACCCGATCGTCGTCACTGGCTGCAGTGTCCGCCAGAGAGCTGCTCCTGAGAGCTGCTGCGTCCGCCAGAGAGCTGCTCCTGAGAGCTGCTGTGTCTGCGAGAGAGCTGCTCCTGAGAGCGGAGTCCCGCGATTGCGCCTCTCCTGGTTCTGTACGTAGGTCGTGGAAGCTGGGAGACGATTTTATTTTCATTTCACAGAATAGATGTTTGTGCACCTATACTAACATAGGTTTGGTAGTAGCTACACTATGTGATATGTATGTGTTAATGATTTAACGTTAAATAACAGGTCATGTGGAAAAAAACGGTAAAGCGTTACAGTTTTTACTGGACTGATCAGTGATCAGGTTCTGATTGCTAATCAACATTGCTCATAACACATCTTTCTTCTTTGCATATCTCCGGAAAATTAATTGTAAAAATCAGCTCGCGCTTCTCCATGCCGCTCAGTGCATAGGTCTCGCTGTAACAGTTAATGAGTCGATCTTATAAATGTTTGTAACGAATAAACAAATGCCCATTGTCTGACGACCCCCGCTCCCTTTGTTTGTCCGCAGGCGGAGGTGGCGCTCCTTCTGGTACGTACAGTCCAGGCGCTGATCAACCTACAGAACGAGGCGGAGCGCTCGTCGCTGCAGATGGCGCCACCGGGGCTGGCGAGCGACCTCCAGCCGCCCTCCGTGGAGCTCACCGCTGGCACAGGTGGCAGCACCGTCAACTTATTGCCGGCGCCAAAGTAACTGAAAATGCTCAAATCGTCTGATGACGTTTCCTGAATTTTAAGCCAGATTCACCAACAAAAGTGTACACCTTACGGCTTACATATTACCTATTCATGCCCTGCGTGATCACCCTCCCATGCTACGGTGAATATCGGCGGTGATTCCGAACACCGCCGATAGGTGTCTCTATATCTAATCAGTCGGTTGTCACCGGGTTCTTCGCAATTAATTTTCGAAGGCGCTTTGCAGGATAAATAAGGATATCAAGTTGATATTTTTGTGACTGTGAGAGCAGCAATGACGGTGACAGTGACAGCGACAGTGATTATTGTAATTGTATGGAAAATTGATGTGGTAAGCCTCGGTAGAGCCACTATATAGTGGCTAATCATTGATGTTTGAAAATGGATGTATGAGACGTGTGCAATGTGCAATGTCTGTGCAGTGAGTTAAGAGCAATAATGGGCGAGCTGTGAGCTCAGAGCTGTGATTTGTAAGCTATCTTTTGAAAAGGGAAGGCTGCATCAGTGCCGTGACTGACGTTCCATTGTGCGTTTTGAGTGTCATGAAGACATAGAATGAGAAAGAGAGAGAGAGAGAGAGAGAGAGAGAGAGAGAGAGAGAGAGAGAGAGAGAGAGAGAGAGAGAGAGAGAGAGAGAGAGAGAGAGAGAGAGAGAGAGAGAGAGATTCGATAGGTGTCTGTCACCTATATCTCGCTTTTGTCGGCATCTGGCGCGCTGCGAACAGTGTGTACGTGTTTTCGTTCTGGTCGCTGCGATATTTATTTTTGAAATGTGACTAAACTGCCAAGTGATTTCGCCTATCCCTCTGTTTCGGAGCCCCTTAGCGCCAGGCACGCTCCATCCTCTGTACAGCATCACAGGCCCTCCCCCGGCCCCTCTGCTGTTGTTAATCCGTCAGTCCGTGGCACCCTCCCTCCCTCTCTTGTCCCTCCCCCTCCCCTCAGCAAACCCACCTCTTACCGATCTCCACTCGCTTCCAGACGACCCAGATCGGCGGATGTCACCGCCCGCGGCCATCAGAGGTCATCGCCGGGGTCAATCGGCTCGGCGGGCCGGTCTAGCTGCCAGGGGCCGACTGCCGCCGGCGCCGCCCCGTCCGCCACCCGGCGAGGCAGCACTCATCAATCAAATCCGGCCCGAGCCCCCCTCCCCCCTTCCCCAGCCACGTGGCTGGTCGACTTTCATCTGAATGCCCCCTCACTCTTACGAAAAACACTTTGGTGCTTATGTTTTTTTTTTATCTGTGAATATCTCAATAAAATACCAAGTACGGCTCTTATGACGTGTCTTTAAATGGTAGTGTACTGGAAGTCACGTGGGAGCTCGTTTTGGCGATGGTCAGACGGTTCGGGAGACTGCGAGACCCGCGTACAGAGCCAAACAGTCGACGGCAGCAGTGGATGTGACGTCACACAGGCTGGGCTAACGACAGAGAGAAGTGGGCGGAGCCTAAATGGCCCCAAACTGAGATCGGCATAAAGCACTTCCAGGTGCCCCAATGGGTTTACCCTGGTGGCCGAGTGGATAGCGTGACGTCAGCGTGCATTTTACACATTCGAGGGTTTTGGGTTCGAGGCCCGTTTAGGACATAAAATTTTATCGTAATCATGGCTGTTTCCGGGACTCGAACCCAAAACCTTCGAAAGTCTAAAATGCATGCTGACGTCACGCTATCCACTCGGCTACCAGGGCAAACCCGTTGGGGCACCTGAAAGTGCCTTATGCCGATCTCAGTTTTAGGGCCTTTTAGGCTCCGCCCACTTTCGTTCGTGGCGAATGCCTTACCGACCGACTGACCGGGCCTGAGCTCAAGAACGGGAACTTACTCCAGCCGCAGGAAAGGGCAAATTAAGTGGATTTTTTAACCTAATTTTCTCCGCTTTGCGGGTCTAGGCACTCTAATACGAGCCACGCGAGATCTCTTTTTACGTCGCCATTGGCCGTTACACGACTTTTCGCCTCCGTGTTGTGTTCCAACCGCATCGCACCAAACATCCCATTGTTTTTCGACCTTTATTCGCCAGCCACAACACTAAACAATCTACGCACTAACCGCTCGCCCACGCCTCGCGGGTCCAAAGGAACCGCTGAGGTGCCAACATCACGTTATTTATGAAGATAAAGGCGACTTATCTTTCGACATTCCGTCTTACTATCAGTCTTTTTTGCGCTTGACAGATCGGTGGTTTGCACACACGGAAAACACCAGCAGCACACTCTTGAATGATCGAGAAGAACCACACTTTTACATTATGACGTTAACAGTGATCGAATGCGAAATGACGGACAACGAAGCGTTCCATATCGATATGAAGCGATTGTCTCAACGTTCGCTCGGACAACGACACGGCGATGACAGTAAGAAGACGACAGATGCAGTGTACACACATGGCAGGGACAATTGACGGTACAAACATCTTCCTTGAGGTCAGCTTCCGGGCTACTTAAGTCATCCCTACCACCAGCAATCAACGAGAGACATTTACAGCACAAACAGTCGACGAGGTGCAGCTACGCGGCAAACGTGCAACGAACGGATCTGAGGTGTGAGCTGTACAGAAAACACGTCCACGGCTTGAGAATAGGCGCGCCTATTTAAAGGCACTGCTAATTTAGGGTTCCTGAGAACCTGTTACCGACGAAGCTGTGACGGCAAGTCCTAGTAACATTGCATCATCAGATTCAATCCCAGCAGGAGATGTGAAACAGAGGTCCGTCGGTTCGAAATACGCGCACGGACGGGCAGCCGAAGCCTTATGAGCGACGGTGCTGCCATCTGTGCCAGCGGTGAGCTCCACCGAGCGCGGCGCCAGCTGCCGAATGTCGCTGTTGTTGTTGTTGTTGTTGTTGTTGTTGTTGTTGTTGTTGTTGTTGTTGTTGTTGTTGTTGTTGTTGTTGTTGTTGTTGTTGTTGTTGTTGTTGTTGTTGTTGTTGCTGCTGCTGTTGTTGTTGTTGCTCTTCCCGGGCGACGTCCAGGTCGCCCGTCAGCCAGCGGCTCCAGATGGCGCCTGAAGCTGCGGGCCCAGCCCGCAGACAGCTGTGCGACAACGTTGCCGTCGCACAGCTGCGCAGGCTCCACGTGGATGTTGCCGAACATCCGAAGACGGAGATCGGCGAGACTCGGACACCGGAGCAGCACGTGCTCCGGGGTGTCCGCCTCTTCTTTGCATACGATGCAGCATGCCGCTGGGCTGTCCTCAGGCCACCCGGGGCACAAGTTCGTCGGGAGGCGGCCGATGCGGTGAAGGTACTGACGGGCCATTCCCTTTTGACCGGCCCGCAACTGGTGAGCATCCACCGCCTTGCTCCTGCTCACGCCGGAGACCGGATGCGGTCTCCCCAGATTCACCGGAAGAAAGAGTCCGGCCATGACTTGCGCCATGCCCCTGCAGCCGTCCTGGCCACGGCGCCTGTGATGGTGCGGACATTCGCTGGCGCCTCCTGCTGGAGTCCGGCTGCTTCCCTTGCCAGCTCACCGCCTTCTCGTTTCTGGGTAGACCGCAGTGCGCTGGTACCCACTGTAGCATCACCTCTTGGTCTCTGGGGGAGATGCTGAGCAGCAGGGCCCAGGTCGCCGCACCTATCGGAGTGGTTTGCGATCCCGCACCTCCGGCCAGCTGGGACAGCGCCGCCTGGGAGTTGGTGCACGGAACCACGGGTCCTTCTGTCTGGGCACCTGACAGGCTGCCGACCTCCAGCGCCGCTTTGATGGCGCATAGTTCAGCGCGGGTACTGGAGCACAGGCGCCTTGCGGCGACCCTGATCGCCCGGGTCTCCCCGCTCCTAAGCAGTAGGAGGGCACCGCCGCCGCCGTGCGTCGTGCCGCTCTCCGCTGAGCCATCGCTCTAAATCCAGCGAGCGTCTGCTGAAGGGTGGCGAGGTGGTTCTCAGCGGTCCGGCGGCGGATCGTGGCGGGGGCGTCCCGGCTAGCCGCCTTGCTCATACTCTGAGATAACTTCGTCGCTCCCGGGCCGTACCACGGGGGAGCATCACCTGCACGCGCTCCTCCACAAGCACGTCCTCCAGGGAGCAGGCTCGGAGGGCCTCTCTCCCCAGGCGTCTCCACCCGGTGGTCGACTTCAGTCGGCGAGGGGGATCTTGGTCGGCGATCACTCGCAGTGGGTCGTCTTCGGGTAGCGATCTCGCCAGGCCATCAGCCGGTCATCTTGGTGACCAGAGTACCTCGCCTGATCTGGGCGACTGGTAGTCCGGCTTCCGCCATGAGCGGCGCTGCCGGGCTTGGTCGTGTGCAGCCGGTCACCACGCGAGCCATCGATCTAGCTCACGGTCCAGCTGTTAGACATATCCGGAGCTGTTGTTCCTGCAGTCCCCACGACCGGCTCGTCATGGAGTGCAGGTGGGTAATCCGGGGCCTGGTTTTTCTCCTCACGCTGGCGCAGTGTGAGGTCGCTCGCTGGAGGTCGCTCGCCAGCCCCGGTGGCGCCATCTGCAGCGACGACCGCTCCGCCTCGTTTTGTATGTCGATCCGCATGAGGTGGCGCCAGAAGGCGCCCCACCTCCGCCTGCGGGCAAACAGAGGGAGCGGCGGTCGTCAGATAAGTCTTACGGACGGCACACAGTGAATCGACTGGGGTGTGGGGGGTGTGGAGGCAAAAAATACCCCCCCCCCCACCAGGGCGCGGTTAAGGAAAAATTGATTGAGGAAAAATGGTTTGGACACTTTCTACTTCAAATGCAATCAACGAAGAAAGAATTATAACAAATGTTTGGCATTTTGTACGAACGAACAATGACAGCAATGTTGCCTGTTGCTCACGAAAATTTCATGCATCTACAGCATAAATAACTCTGTCATTGAAGGTTCAAAGTTCGGAACGTTTTTAATGGGCCACCTGGTATACCATGACAGGTAGACGGTCACACATACCATGTCCGATAAACGGTCACATATACCACGACAGGTAGACGGTCGCACATACCATGTCCAATAAATGGTCACATATACCACGACAAGTGAAGGTGACATAGCCTTGAGGTAAACAGATGGTTACACACATTTCGTTAAATAGACTGAGACGGTCATATATACCACGACAAATAGACGGTCACATATGTCACGTCAAATATGTAGACGGTCATATATTCCAAGACAAATAGAGAGTTATACCATAAAAATAAACAGACGGTCACATATGGAAAGTTAACTGCTTACTTTACCGTTGCAAGCACCAAAGCACATACCTATTACCTACCTCTCTCACCGTTCCGTTGCAAAGTGGCCGGTCGGTGCCGTTTTGCTGTGTCGGCCCGCCGCTGCTGTTTTGTTAGTCAGCAAGGCTCTGACGACGCCGTTCCCCGTCCGACACCGATGGCTGTCGAAGAACGTCATGCTGCACATCCTGAAGAGGGAAAGGTAACGTCATCAGTAGCTGGACAATGGACATGGCAAACCGGGACCGGAGCCTGTGCGGTGATTTTGTATCCAGCTATTATGTGGTTAGGGGGTGGAGAGTGGAGTAAGAGTAAGCGCCAAGTGGGGTGGAGTAAGAGAAAATACCATTGTCCTTTAGTTTAAAAACAGCTCCTTGGCCAAGAGCGACGTGCAGTGTGCAGTGTGCGCTGTTTTGGAACGGTAATGATGAAGTATGACTCATTAGGTGACCGGCATTACTGGGCGGTCGATTGAAGGATCGTGGGTTATCAATTGTAAACAGAGAAGATCGGCAGCACCTGTAAATACTATACGACGTATACGTTATCCACCAGCGTCCCTCACCGTCTCCCGTTATCCACCAGCGTCCCTCACCGTCTTCCGTTATCAGCGTCCCTCAATGTCTCCCGTTATCCACCAGCGTCCCGCACCGTCTCCCGTTATCCACCAGCGTCCCTCACCGTCTCCCGTTATCCACCAGCGTCCCTCACCGTCTCCCGTCATCCACCAGCGTCCCTCACCGTCTCCCGTTATCCACCAGCGTCCCTCACCGTCACCCGCTATCCACCAGCGTTCCTCACCGTCTCCCGTTATCCACCAGCGTCCCTCACCGTCACCCGTTATCCACCAGCGTTCCTCACCGTCTCCCGTTATCCACCAGCGTCCCTCACCGTCTCCCGTTATCCACCAGCGTCCCTCACCGTCTCCCGTTATCCACCAGCGTCCCTCACCGTCTCCCGTTATCCACCAGCGTCCCTCACCGTCACCCGTTATCCACCAGCGTTCCTCACCGTCTCCCGTTATCCACCAGCGTCCCTCACCGTCTCCCGTTATCCACCAGCGTCACCGACCAGCACACGCTCAGACTCCACCGTCCCAGCCACCCACCGCCCGGCCCGGCCACCAGACACCCGCTCCCCTCGCCTCTCCAGCGGCCACTGCCGGCCGGTCCGACCCGACACAGCCTCAGGGCATGACTCGGAGCGCACCAGGGGCGGCGCCAGGTCAAAGAGAACGGGGGAGGGGCAGGGGCGGCGTCAGGCCAAATGTGACGGCGGAGGAGGGGCGACATAAGAAACGCGTGGCCAAGGAGCCATTGAAAATACAATGTTTTTGGCCTGAAGAAAACATCAAAAATATGAATTACTTTGTGAAGACAGCATAGAGCGGAAACAAAATTTAGGGTACACAAGATTCAATGGAGCACAGCAGCGGGCACAGTGAACTCCGTACCAAAAAGCCTTATGTAAAGAGAAGAGCCTTGGGTAAGAAGTGTGGGGGAAGGGCCAAACGTATGGTTCCCCCACCTCAAAAAGTGGGTGGGCATTTGCCCACCTGTACCCCTCCCCCACGCGTTTCTTATATCGCCCCTTCTCCGCCGTCACATTTGGCCTGACGCCGCCCCTGCCCCTCCCCCGTCCTCTTTGACCTGGCGCCGCCCCTGCTGCGCTCCGAGCCGTGCCCTGAGGCTGTGCTGGGTCGGCCGGCCGGCAGTGGTCGCTGGAGAGGCGAGGGGGGCGAGTGTCTGGAGGCCGGGCTGGGCGGTGGGTGGCTGTGGGTGGCTGGAGCAGTTGAGTTACAGTTGAGCAGTTGAGTTGAATCAAGCAGCTGTTTTAAACGGTAGAACAATTGTATTTTTCTCTTACTCCATCCCCCCCCCCATAACTACATAGCAGCTAGTACAAAATCACCGCACAGGCTCCGTTCCCTGTTTGCCATGTCCATTGCCCAGCTACTAATGACGTTCCCTTCTCTCTTCAGGTTGTGCAGCATGACGTTCTTCGCCAGCTATCGGTGTTGGACGGGGGACGGCGTCGTCAGAGCCTTGCTGACTAACAAAACAGCAGCGGCGGGCCGACACAACAGAACGACACCGACCGGCCACTTCGCAACGGAACGGTGAGAGAGGTATTATGCATTTCAGACCCTGTGGAACAGTCCTTTTCGGCTATTTCTCGTTGTATATGCGTTTGATCTTTACCAAATTTTGGCCTTGGTAGTTTGAGAGCCCTACCTAATTGTTATCAATATGGTCTATTAACAAAAATTGAAAAATAAAGGCACTTGTCATTGACTGATAATGTTAAGGTCGTCAGAGCCCTGCTTAGAGGCTGGCACAGGCTGGACGCTGCCTCCCCTTTGATTAGTCGTGACGTACTAGCACACTGCGGCTTGGCTCCGCCCACTTGCGGTCCAGCCTCGGGTCATGTCGGCGGCAGTCGCAGTCTGGCCGGCCGGCGTGCGGGCAGCGCGCGCAGCGCAGCGGAGTGGAGCACTTGTTTGCACGTCATTAACTTTTAATAAGGTGTTCTACGACAAATAAGGACGGAGGAAGAAAGAAAAAGGAAAAGGAGACAAAATGACAATGAGACTAACGGCAGACGGTGGCTAGTGGGCAGCAAACAATATGCGTAAAAGCTAGAGCAAAGACAGGAGACCCGAGACAAAGACGGTAGACGAAAGACAGAGACAAAGATGGTAGACCAGAGACAAGTGACGGAGATAAATATTATATACGAGAGACTGACAAGGGGGAGTGAAAGATGGGAGATCATCAAATCTCAATATTGAACATCTACATTCTCAGACTGAGTCATCCTATCTTTCTCTGTTTTAATGTTTTTCGGCCCTAAGATCTATCAACAATATCCTCAAAGCATTGCGGAACTATTATGGAATGATCGAATATTTTTACACCAAAAATACCACAATTTTATTCTAAAAAAAACTGCAAGTACATATGTGGATATCCTCAATTAAATAAGGCCGTCGAATGTCACATACGATAGCACATACGTATCTAAAGACAATCCAGTAGATTCTGTTTCGTTACTCCTTAAATGCACCATAGCCTGTAGGAAAACAGGGCAGCGGAGAAGCTCGCTATAAATGATTGAAAGTAAGATTCTTTTAATTTTGTAGGGAATAACATTCTGGAGCTTACTCTGTAGTTGGAAGGAGTGCTCATCGCTTTATACATACACCGATCTGCATTGCATTCTTCATCCTCATTCTCTCCGCGCGAGATACGACACATATTCACGCAAGGACACCTGCGTTAGCGTGCGTCTTGTTCCAGTCCGTCAGAGCTCCGCACCGCCCTGACCCCGAGCGGCGAATGACCGGTGTCGGTGTCGCGGCGCAGTGGGCGGAGCTTAGCTGCGGCGCAACAGCTGACGCTGCTACGCCATGCTAGCCTCTACCACGGCGCAGAGTTTTCCGATCAATTTTTACCATTACAAGTCAATGACAAGTGCCTTTCATTTTGACAATTTGTTAAAAGAGTCGGAGACCATATTAGTAAAAATTAGGTAGGCCCTTGAAACTCATTGTGTCAAAGTTTGGCTGAAATCAAGCGTATATATAACGAGAAAGAGCCAAAAAGGCAATCGTTTTCCACAGCCTGTCGCTTCGTTTCCACCCTTCCGCACTGTCCGCCGCCTCTGAGCGCGCGCCTTGGACTGCCCGACCTGTTTTGCGGCCTGTGTACTGTGCGTGCCAGATGGAGAGGGTGGTATTGTATCAGTTATTCACTATCAATGACTCTGGACACACACAGCTGCCATGTGCGTCTCTGCACAACGGTCTATCCCACTGGTATTGATTCGTTCACAGCATCAGCATAATCCATTCGCTTGACTTTTCGGCGAGTCAGCCATGCAGGCAGCAGGCTCCTTATATGACTAGTAAAAATGCATGGTCTGAAATGCATAGTAGGTGTTTTGGTGCTTGTAACGGTTAAGTGAACAGTTAACGTTCCAATTGTGACCGTCTGTTCATTTATATGTTTCTATTTGACGTGGAATATGTGACCGTCTATTTGATGTGGTGTACGTATGTGACCGTCCACTCTTATATTTTATGTGGTGTATGTATGTGACCGTCTATTTGTCGTGGTATATATGACCGTCTATTTGACGTTATGTGTGTAACCGTCTATTTGATGTGGTATAGGTACCAGGTGACCAGTAAAAACGTTCCGAAATTTGAAGCTTCATTGACGGCATTAGTTATGATGTAGATACTTGAAATTTTCGTGAGCAGCAGGCAACACTTCTGACATTGTTCGTTTACAATATCAAGCGTTTCTGATTATCATACTTATTCAATTGGATTGGAAGGAAAAAATGACCAAAACAATTATTCTCGATCAAATTTTCCTTGTTCGAAATCGTAAGCGCGTGAAATTGGATCGTTCCTATTTCGGTAACAACAAATCATTCTCTCTGGGCTTCCATTGTTAGAAGGTGGACATCCTGTTTAGTTCAATCGTTCCTAACTGTTGCCCTTCGCAATTAAATTATAAATGTTCATTGATTGTTGGCTCCATTTTGGTGCTGAAACTCCAAAATGTAAAAAAGTTATCCTTGCATCATATTGACGACGTTTGACGTAATATTTATCGTGACGTATGTGACCATTTATTTGTCGTGGTAACCGAAGTTTGCTTTCAACACTCTTCGTAGGATTGTGTTTTTCCAAAGCTTAATTAATTCCCCGACAATTTTGCAAAAGCTGCCTGAGATTATGTAGGACTGTTTATCGGACAAGGTGTATGTGACCGTCTTTTTGACGTGGTATATGTGACCGTACATTTGTCGTACTATATATGACCAGCTATTTGAGGTGTTGTGTGACCGTTAATTTCCCCTGATAAAATATGCGAATGTTTGGTTGCCGTGGGTTAGGTACGAGTAACCGTCTATTTATGTTCAACCATTCCGCGGCTAATCTCAATGTACAAAATAGGAGCTTTTGGACCGGTAATTCTCTCTCTTTCCCTCCCCTCTTTCCCTCCCCCTCCCCTCCTATGTCTTGTGGACTCTAACGAGGAGGTGCAGGCTAAACCCTCCCTAATGACAGCCTACTGTACTTCTAGAAAAAAATACCGTCGTGTATTGTGTTAGATGCCCGTATACCACTGCCGGTAAATGGTGACCATCGGATAGCCACGTGGCACGCATAATCATTTGTGCTCCAAATAACTTAAAGGAAAAGGGCCACATTTAACATGGGGATTGAAAATGAGATAGCCATCTTGTAGCTCGTGTCCGAAGACCCTCCAGTTATTCTCCTTAAGGCCGATTTCAGCCTCCATTCGTAGATATCGGGAATTTTAAAAAGAGGAATGCGCCTTGCCCCTGGAATGGATCCTTATCCTGTAATACGGCCACCCGCGGGGAGGCTTTGATTTTTAACCAATCAGCTCCATTCAGCTCAGCTTTAACCAATCAGCTTATCCGACGTAATCCGGCGAGTCTATCTTCTCAAGACTGATTGGCACGAGTGTGACGCATCAATTTTCTCTAATTTCCCGTCCTTCGCCGTACAGGTCCGTTGGCGTTTTTATCACGTTTGTCGTTGATCACTAAAGGTATGCTGAAAAATAATACTGATCAGCCAAAGACGTTGTGCACGCTAGCACGGAGTGAAACCTCCTGTGTAAATTCTTTGAGACGATTAGCAATTGGAACAGGACATACTGATCGCTGAACCGCACATATTGAACATTTTCATGTCCCTATTTCGCGCAGTTCAGTCCAACTCCCCCCTCATCCCCCGTCAATTCACTGCGTGCCGTCCGTAAGACTTATCTGACGACCCCCGCTCCCTCTGTTTGCCCGCAGGCGGAGGTGGTGCGCCTTCTGGCGCCACCTCATGCGGATCGACCTAGAGAACGAGGCGGAGCGGTCGTCGCTGCAGATGGCGCCACCGGGGCTGGCAGCGACCTCCAGCGAGCGACCTCACACTGCGCCAGCGTGAGGAGGAAAACCAGGCCCGGGTCGCCCACCTGCACTCCATGACGAGCCGGCCGTGGGGACTGCGGGAACGACAGCTCCGGACACGTCTAACAGCTGGACTGTGAGCTAGATCGGTGGCTCTCGTGGTGACAGGCTGCACACGATCAACTCCGGAAGCGCCGCTCATGGCAGAGGCCGGACTACCAGTCGCCCAGGTCAGGCGAGGTACTCTGGCTACCAGGATGCTCTGACTGGCGAGATCGCTACCCGAAGACGACCCACTGCGAGTGATCGCCGACCAGGATCCCCCTCGCCGACTGAAGTCGACCACGGGATGGAGACGCCTGGGGAGAGCTGAGGCCCTGCGAGCCTGCTCCCTGGAGGACGTGCCGGTGGAGGAGCGCCTGCAGGTGATACCCCGTGGTCTGGCCCGGGAGCAACCACGTTATCCCCGACTATGAGCGGGGCGGCTACCCGGGACGCCCCCGCCACGATCCGCCGCCGGACCGCCGAGAACCACCCCGCGCCTTCCCTGCAGACGCTACCTGGATTTAGAGCGATGGCCCAGCGGAGAGCGGCACGACGAACGGTGGCGGCGGCGCCCTCCTACTACTCAGGAACGCGGAGACCAGGGAGATCAAGGTCGCCGCAGGACGCTTGTGCTCCAGCACCCGCGCCGAACTATGTATGCGCCATCAAAGCGGCGCTAGAGATCAGCAGCCTGTCAGGTGCCTACACAGAAGGACCCGTGGTTCTGTGCACTGATTCCCAGGCGGCGCTGTCCCAGCTAGCCGGAGGTGCGGGATCGCAAACCACTCCGATAGGTGCGGCGACCTGGGCCCTGCTGCTCAGCATCTCAGCCAGTGACCAAGAGGTGATGCTGCTTTGGATGCCTACCAGCGCACTGCGGTCTCCCCGGAAACGAGAAGGCGGATGAGCTGGCAAGGGAAGCACCCGGCCTCCAGCAAGGGGCGCCAGCGGATGTCCGCACCATCACAGGCGCCGTGGCCAGGACGGCTGCAGGGGCATGGCGCAAGTCATGGCCGGACTCTTTCTTCCGGTGAATCTGGGGAGACCGCATCCGGTCTCCGACGTGAGCAGGAGCGAGGCGGTGGATGCTCAGCAGTTGCGGGTCGATCACTAGAGAATGGCCCGCCAGTGCCTCCACCGCATCGGCCGCCTCCCGACGAACTCGTACGCCGGGTGCCCTGAGAAGGACTGCCCAGCGGCACGCTGCATCGTATGCAAAGAAGAGGCGGACACCCCGGAGCACGTTCTGTTCCGGTGTCCAAGTCTCGCCGATCTCCTTATGCGGATGCTCGGCAAGATCCACGTAGAGCCTGTGCAGCTGCGCGACGGCGACGTCGTCGCAGGCTTAGCCCGCCACTTCAGGCGCCATCTAGAGTCGCTGGCTGACGGGCGACCTGGACTTCGCCCGGTAGAGGGACAACAATAACCACAACAACAACAACAACAACAACAACAGCGACCTCCAGCACCTGGCGCCGCCCTGGGTGGAGCTCACCGCTGGCACAGATGGCAGCACTGTCGCTTGCATGGCTCGACTGTCCGTCCGTGCGCGTATTTGAACCAACGGACCTCTGTCTCATATCTCTGATCCAGATCAGTGTCGTTATGTTCTATGGGATGGTCAGCGTCTGTGAGGTGTCGCTTTGGTGGTGTTGAATCTCATGATGCGATGTTACTAGGACTTGCCGTCACATATTTGTCGGTAAGATGTCTTCAGGAACCCTTAACTAGCATTACTTTTATCGTGGCGCGCCTCCTCTCGAGCTGTGGACGTGTTTTCTGTACCGCTCACACCTGGTCTGCTTGGTCGGATTATTTCGTTGCACTTTTGCACCTCGTCGACTGTTTATGCTGTAAATGTCTCTCGTTAACTGCTGGTGATAGGGGTAACTGAAGTCGCCCTGAAGCCGACCTCAAGGAAGGTGTTTGTACCGTCAGTTATCGCTGCCATGTGTGGACACTGCAGCTCTGTCGTCTTCTTATTGTCATCGCCGTGTCGTTGTTTGATGGAACGTTGACACATTCGCTTCATATTGGTATATGAAACGCTTCGTTGTTCGTCATTCCGTATTCGATCTCTGATAGTCAATGTAAAAGTGTGGTTCTGTATCACTCAAGGGCGTGCTTGGTGTTTTCCGTGTGTGTATGACAGTGATCTATGTGAAGCGCTGAAAAACTGATAGTAAGACTGAATGTCGAAAGATAAGTCGCCTTTATCTTCGTAAATAACTTGATGTTGGTACCTAAGCCGTTCCATGGACCCGCGAGGCGTGGGCTAGCAGCTGGTGCGTAGATTGAGCGCTATGGCAAATAAAGGGCGGAAAAGCATGGTTTGTGTGGTCTGATATGGTCGAAACACAACGCGGAGACGAGAAAGTCGTGTAACGCCCAATGGCGACGTAAGAAGAGATCTCGCGTGGCTGGTATACTAGCGTCCAGACCCACAATACTGTGAAAATGAGGCTGAAAAAAAAAAATCACTAAATCCTTCATTCCCGACGGCTGGAGTAGGTATCCGTTCTTGGAATCGAGGCCGGTTGGTCGGTTGGTAAGGCATTCGCCACGAAAGAAAGTGGGCGGAGCCTAAATGACCCTAAAACTGAGATCGGTATAAGGCACTTTGAGGTGCCCCAACGGGTTTACCCTGGTAGCCGAGTGGATAGCGTGACGTCAGCGTGCATTTTAGACTTTCGAAGGTTTTGGGTTCGAGACCCGAAATCGCCCAAGATTACGGGAAATTTTTCCGTCCTAAACGGGCCTCGAACCCGAAACCTTCAAAAGTCTAAAATGCATGCTGACGTCACGCTATCCACTCGGCCACCGGGGTAAACCCGTTGGGGCGCCTGGAAGTGCCTTATACCGATCTCTGATTAGGGCAGTTTAGGCCCCGCCCACTATTCTCTGTCGTCAGCCCAGCCCGTGTGACGTCATGTCCACTGCTGCCGTCGACTGTTTGGCTCTGTACGCGGGTCCCGTGGTGTGGTCCCCCGAACCGAACCGTCTGACCACCGCCAAAAAGATTTCCCACGCGACATCCAGGACACTTCGACTTAAAGACACATAATCGGAGCCGTACTTGGTATTTTATTGAGATATTCACAGATAAAAACACACCATAAGCACCAAAGTGTTTTTCGTAAGTGAGGGGGCATTCAGATGAAAGTCGACCAGCCAGTAGCCACGTAGCTCGGGAAGGGGGGGGGGTGCCTCGCGCCGGATTCGATTGATGAGTGCTGCCTCGCCGGGTGGCGGACGGGGCGGCGCCGGCGGCAGTCGGCCCCTGGCAGCTAGACCGGCCCGCCGAGCAGATTGACCCCGGCGATGACCTCTGATAGCCGCGAGCGGTGACATCCGCCGATCTGGGCCGTCTGGAAGCGAGTGGAGATAGGTAAGGGGTGGGTTTGCAGTTTAATGAGGGGAGGGGGAGGGCAAGAGAGGGAGGGAGGGTGGGTGCCACGGACTGACGGATTAACAACAGCAGAGGGGCTGGGAGAGGGGCTGTGATGCTATACAGGAGACGGAGCGTGCCTGACGCTGGGAAAGCTCCCAATTCCCAAACAGGCGGATAGACGACATCACATGACAGGCTGCACATTTTGTGAATGAATATCGCAACAAACAGCATGGAAACACGGAAGTACACACTGTTCGCACTTCGCAACGCGACCAGATGCCGACAATTGCAATCATCACTGTCACTGTCACTGTCACTGCCGCTCTTACAGTCACAAAAATATCAACTTTACGTCCTTAGGCTTATTTATCTTACAATGCGCCTTGGGAAGATGAATTGTCTACGAATAACGGACATGCCTAAGAGCTGGACTTTTTGCACGCGTTCCCCGTCAGGGGGCGCCACTGAGGAAGCACCCTCTGACGTCACGATAAAACTGCGCGCACTGTGCGCACGGCTCTGTAAGCAAGTAATATAGTGGTGGTTTTATGATGGAAATTGGAATAAGTATTTTGACGTTGTAAAATTTCAAGGTGTTTTTGTGAAATTAATTAGTAAATGCATTTTAAAAGTATTTATTTAAAGTGTGGAAGGAGAATAATTAGAAGAACATGCATATTTTTGTTCCAATAGCTTATTATGTGAGACATGATCGGTACTAACGGGTACTTCTAAGAAATAGTGAAGAAGTACCAAACAGCCTGCTCGGCTACGATCGTCAGCTGTCCTTTGGAGCTGGACTTCAACGCTGTAAAAAAAATGTGTGCTGAATTAATTTTTAGTTTCACCAAAATATAAGCAATTTATCATTTCCTTTTCACTTTTGTAATTATTGTTGAGTGAAGAGACATGTTGCTAGTTCTGACAATATAAATTATTTAAAAAAAACGAAATGCGACGGTAAGTATCTGCTACTAAATTATCACTTTAACTAAATACATGGAGAATCTTGCTACCATTGCTTATAAAACGTGCTTATCAATACACAAATGTTTTATTTCAGACAAGAAGGATTTATTTGCCTGAAGTCTTGCGTCATGTGCTACTGCTTTGATTCCAAAGACGCTCTCCGGGTCGGGGTAATTTAGCTCTTCATCGATCGATATGAGATTTTGATTCCATTGATATCCAAATTGATAAGCTCGGCACCATGGAGTAAGGGCGTCCCCACAGGGGTGACGCAGGAAATATGAATGGCGTTTACACCGACAGTAGTTTCCCACAGCCGGCAATGGGAATCTCCTGTCGGTGTAAACGCTACTATAGTCCCATCCAACTCAAACACTGGGGAATATCCCCGCACTTTTGAGGACGGAAATCTATGGACCTGCTCGAAAAATAGTGGATAAAATACGGCGAGCTTTCAGTTTTATGGTTGGGTCTCCCTTCCGAGGCACATATTTACGAGGGATATTGGGTCATATTCCCCCGGCGTCCTGATGATCGGCGCCCAGCTCAACGTCGAAGGCGCCCTGATACGCGGCACTGCTATCTGTGAAGGTGCCCAGGCTGCTGCCGCTCGAATTTTGTTCGCCTACTTAACAAAACCTCCGTTGGTGCCATCTCAGTTTCCTCGAGGTCAGGCAACCTTCACACGCCGTTGGCTACCTTGGCTGGCCGGCGACTCGTTCCCCTCGTGGCGACGCTCTTGACATCCAGTCAAAAGTTAGTGGCTGGCGCCCCCAGTGGGGGCCGGGGAAGGGGCAGTGGGCCTCCACGTTGCTCTCTTCCCGAGCCTATGGTGACTTGGCTCAACTCTCCTCAATAGAATCTGGATTCTGCACGCTGTATGAACATGGGCGTATTGTATTGTATTGTATTGTATTGTATTGAACAATCATGAGCGATCCACATTCTGAAAGTGCGTGGCGATTACTGCTCAGACACCACTACGGACAATACGGACAGTGGGTGTGACAATCAGTGGTGCCATTCATATAGAGGGTGTCATATATGAGCGGAGAGGCAACAGTACAGCTGAGCGGAGAGACAACATTAAAACAACAGTACAACTGGCGTTGCATGGAGCTGCAGGCAACCGGACAGCGGAAGCTTGCGAAAAATAAACAATTCGTCACTTCAACGTATAAACAATAGTAAAAGCAACATAAACACATATTCTCATGGTCGAACCCATGCACTAGCGGCTCACGGCGGGCACAGGCGCGCAGTGCGGTAGCGGTACCGGATCACACGTCATGGGCGTTGTCTCAGCATAGGTTGTTATGAGCGGAGAGGCAACAGCACAGCTGAGCGGAGAGACAACATTAAAACAACAGTACAGCTGGCGTTGCATGGAGCTGCAGGCAACCGGACAGCGGAGGCTTGCGAAAAATAAACAATTCGTCACTTCAACGTATAAACAATAGTAAAAGCAACATAAACACATATTCTCATGGTCGAACCCATGCACTAGCGGCTCACGGCGGGCACAGGCACGCAGTGCGGTAGCGGTACCGGATCACACGTCATGGGCGTTGTCTCAGCATAGGTTGTTCGCAATCTAGTTGAAGCCTAAGAAGACGGCCAGTGGGGTCTCACTGCTGCTGAGGCGACCTCGGAGACGATGCGTCGTCCCTCCTGTCGGCGACCTGCGGTGAGCAGGACTCCAGATAGCTGTCTGGCACGTTGCCGACACTGCCAGACGCTGTCAGCAGGCCTCACTGCTGCAAGTGATGTGCAGATGGACGCCAGGTGACTTCGTCTGCATGCGATTCCGGAGACCGCGGCCTCACCAGGCAGCGCCACCTGCATCGCCATGTCGGTGTTTCTAGAAATGGAAAAATAACAGTATCGGTGAAGGAAAAGCAATACAATGTATTCTGTTTTCCTCTCTTGCAGGTATACGTAATCTACAATTATCATTGTTCCTATTTCATTCAACTGAAGCTGAAAATTCCATATTGGCACATTGTTTGACTAAATTTGTGTAGTTGGGAACAGGGGCGACGCCACGGTGCGACGACTGGAGGGGACATTGACCATTTTGGAGGGGACGAGGACCATTTCAAGTCGATTCTTTCCATGCAACGCCAAAGGCGTAATATTAAAATTTTAAAAAGTGAAGGGGACGAAATCCCCTCCGTCCCCCCCCCCCTGTGGTGACGCCCTTGGTTGGGAAGCAGATTCTGATTGTTTGAAATACATGTTTGGCTGAACAGTGCGGAAAATATTTCATTGATCACCATAGCTGCAACAAAAATACTGAGACAGAAAACATTTGCGCTTACCTGGCTCCTTAGTCAGTCCCGCACAACGGAAGTGGTACCATTTATCGCAGCCGTCGCATCCGACCATCGGTGCTGCACTGATGCTGCTGCACTCCCCACATTCCCAGCACCTTAGGAGCGTCTTGGCTGTGAAAAGATTACATGAGTCATGGCGCATACATGAATAGTAAGATGTTTTATATGTTTAACATCGCATAGCAAAGACACAACAGCTGGGAGTCAAGTGTAAGGACTTTTGACAATGGTGTTTGAACTCAGTGGGTTGTTGTTGTTCTGGGTTAGGGCGCGTAGCAGCTTGGCTCTTGCGTCCAACAACTCAGTGGGGTGAGGTTTGGTTGGTCAAGAGTGGTCATTTTTAGCAATACTATTTTTGACTACAGCTTTGCTAAGTATGACTACGGTGATGATGTCATGGTAATCAAATTTGACCACCATTATACCAATTTTGCACCCTGGTGGAGAAAACACAAATTTCAGGTTACGGGAAGTAAGATAGGAAAGTTATTCCGGCAGTTCTTAAAAGAAGACAAAGAATCCTGATTCTGGCTGTTGTAAATGGGGGTCCAAGGTTGAACAGAGCCAGCATTTGGCACTGAAATTCAAAGTTTGAACACAATGAAAAAAGGTGCTTGATATCACTATAAAAGTTTATTTCACGGGGAAATGGATGCATTCACGTAAAAGCGCACAAAAGTACTCTAGCAAAGTGGATTACTTAGGTACTGAAAATATCTTGCCAAACAGCTGTTCGGAATATCAAATCTGACATACAGAATTTTCAATGGCCATTAAAATAATATCATATCACCATTTTCCCAGTGAGTGTTGTCATTTTAACTTTTAAGCAAGAAAAGCTTTGCTAAAAATGACGCTTGACGAAGCCTCATCCTACTGGGCTGTCTGACATGTCTCCCTGTAAAAAACATGTGGCCCTTATATTGTATATATGATGAATATGTTAATAATACAGAGAAAACACAGTATAAATTATGATTCTCCTCGGACGTTGCCTGAAGTTACACATTCGTCTTTTCTGCGCAGTATTTGTGTTTGCCATTTACCGCACCAATGTTCGCCAGCGGTGGTGACTTTTCCTTACCTGCTCACGAAACGTCACACACGACATGACGTCACCCGAAGACGTCATCAAAAAGTCCAGCTCTTAGGCGTGTCCCGAATAACCCGGTGACAATCGGCTGATTAGATAGGTAGAGACGCCTATTAGCGGTATTCAGAACCTCAAGTTTACGTAAACAGCGCCACCTATACCCCGAACAACCGAACCCGTTTTCCACTAGCTGCACATAACACATCCACGGCCTGCGCGGTATACCATTAGTGACATCTAGCGGCGGCCTCTGTCCCTATGGCTTGGTGCCTGTGTTATGTGCAGCTAGTGGATTCGGGGCTCGGTAGTTCGGGCCGTAGGTGGCAGCACTTGCGGCAACTAAAGGTTAAATACGTCGCCGCTAGGTGGCACTGTAAGCTTGCGCAGGGTGAAGCCGCTGGCTAAGTCACCGTTCCGTCATCTCCATCCTCAGGATAGTCAGATCTTCTCGACCGTTCCATGCTTCTATCCCCAGGATACTGAAATCCTTCTCCTCCACGCCGCAACCCCCCTCCGGGCTGGACAGGCAACTTTATCTCATGCGGGCTGCTCCCTTGGAGCGGCACCGCTGCTCCCGAGGGAGCGCACCCCGTAGCGGGTGCAGTGAGTGCCTTGGGGCTGGGTGGCCTGTCCTCTGGACGGGCTCAGCCCCGGCGACTCACTAGGGTGCCTGCCCAGACCTATTTATATACACTGTGCCCAGACCAATGTCTCCCCCTATATCCTATCATCCTCCCGGCGCTCGAAAGGGCCTAACCCAACAAAACAAAAACAAACAGATCTTCTTAACGCCTCAACTCCCTGTTCCGGTCTGGACGGGGAACTTCCTTCCAAGCGGAATATAGCCCGTAAGCCGAGCACGCCCGTAGCCGGGTGCGGTGAGTGCTTGGGGGGGGGGGGGGGGGCTGGTCGGCCTGTCCTCTGGACGGGCTCAGCCCCAGTGACTTACTAGGGTGCCTGCCCAGGCCAATGTCTCCCCCTATATCCTATCATCCTCCCGGCTCTGAAATGGTCTCGTCAGACCGAAAGGGCCTAACCCAACAAAACAAACAAACAAACAAAATCAGCCCTTGGGACTCACCAGGGTGCCTGCCCAGACCAATGTCTGCCCCTTATTCCTATCATCCTTCCCGCTCTGAAATCGTCTTGTCAGACCGAAAGGACCTAACCCAATAAAACAAATAAACAAAACAAGCTGGCTGCGACGCCAAGGATGTGCGATGCCTGAAGCAAACACCGAACAGCGTTTAAAATATATTTGGCGCTCTATCAAACAATCTACATTCTTCCCACAGTTTACTCACTGACTAGTTGACACATGGTTGCATAGGCACTACAGAACTGAGAGCTCGGCTCAGCATCGCTCCCCCTCTCTCTTCTCCTGGCCTCTGCCCAGAGGCTGGTTAGGAGACATACAATTACATACATACGGCGCAAACATACTCAAGCAATTTTCAACGACGTTCAGAGTTCATATCACAAAGCTGAGAACACACACCTAGTATGCAATGCATGTCAGCGCATTCTATGTAAAACCGAGCTCAAGTCATCCAACCAGACTTTTCCTATAAACAAAACTGGTATTTCTTTTAAACAGCCGCATTTGCCGCTGTTTTAGCTTTGTCATCTTATCGGTTACCATTAATTTTATTTTGTTTCCTCCCACGCATTCCACCTTTCCTCTCTATCGTGTGTCCAAAGGACGGCATTTTACCCTAACTCACCAAAACGAGTCACACAAGCAGCTCAATGCTCAAATTCCGTCCCATACCTCTAGCAGGACGTCACATACTTATGACATCACACAATGACATCATCAGCAAACTGTCCAACACATGACGTCACACATTTGGCCACTGGTCTGGAAGACAGCGGACGTGGCAAAACGCGAGCAGCGGGAGAGAGGACATTCGAGTCCTCAGCGAGAGCTATCTATCCCATCCTCTTTCCCCGCAATACATCTCACATACAAGCCCAAAAGTCGCACTGCACGAAGTATCGTACTATTCACACGCTTAACAAGCTATAAATAAGCAACAGTCGGGTGGCGGCGGCAGCTACCAGCAGAAGCTATCCTGTTAACAATCGCCGTTCAAGCTACACCACAATACAAATGTACAAATATAAAAATATCACATGAGCTCTGCGCCCGGCGAATGGGTGTCCTCTCGTGACGGGTTTTGATTTCACGGCGTGTGATTGGCTGTACGAGAGAGAGTTGACCAATCAGGCGTCGTCACGGGTCACGTGTCACCAGGTGTGCACCAATCGGAGGCCAGAACGGGCCAATATCAGATGTATGACGTCTCTTCACGGCAAAAAGGGTCTCATCGGGGCTCTTCGTCAGATGAAAGGTCTCTGAGATTCCTCACTGAGGGTTCCTGGGACACACGAAGGCCCTCATTTTGCCTCGAGATCCTCACTTTGCCCAGATGGTCCTCATTGGGTCCCGAGAGTCCTCAATAGACCCCTTGGGCCCTCACTAGGCCCTCACTCCCAACTGAGACTCCAAGCACCACCGTCCACCACTGGGCCCATCAGACCCCTCCTGGGCCCGGCTAGACCCGGGGCCCCAGCTGGGCCTCTAGCACGTGCGCTGCGTCGTCGCGTCCCATGATTCGGAGGATGTTGAGGAGCTCAGTGGCGGCCGCTGAGGGGTCCGCGTGCCTCGCCCACCAGAGGTCCAGCAGGCATTCAGTCGGAGACTTCTTGGCGGCGAAATAGTTGATGAACCTGTAAGATAGGAGCAGATGTGTGAGAAGTGCATTCACCATGAAGGAAGTGAAGGAGATGCTCAGTTCCTGACAATTTTCAAATAGTTTCAAAGAGACTAGAAAACTAGATAAATCCGTGCCAAAACAGCAAAATTTGACCAAGTTAACACGCGCAGTGCAAGGGTTGCGAGTACTACGCCCAGTGGAAGGGGGGGGGGGGGGTGGATGGCGCCCCCCCTAAGATCTCAGCTCCCACTGGAGCTAGAAAGACGAAATTTGGAGGGTAGGTGGAGGGCCTGGGGACTCTGTTGTGTGTGAATTTCATGACCCTAGGTCAATATCTTCAAGGTCAAATGAGGTCAAATGTGGTCAAATCTGCCATATGAGCGACTTTTTTTGCGTTTACACGCCGATAACTCAAAAAGTTACCGGCCGATTTTCTTTTTTCTTTCACTTTATGAAAGAACAGACATTTGTGAATATGTATGGTGAATTTCTAGTTAATCCAACAATAAATATGGCAGTTAGAAGCCTGCTAAGCGTAAGATGTCGCCGGCTGAAGCGGGATCGGCCGCCGCGGGAAACGCGGCAATCACAATTTTGTGTTTACACACTCATAACTCAAGTTGCTACCGGCCGATTTTCAAAATTCTTTGACCATAAGATTGCCTGTACATTTCTCAGTCTTCTCACAGAAATTGACGCGAATCGAATATAATCGCGCGATGTAAAGACGGAACCGTCCCGCCCCGGCACAGTCTACAATTCAGGCGGCGCGTAACGGCTGGCGCCGGCCGCCGCGCCGCCGCGGCGGCAGGATGTTTGACTTTACACCGCTATTACTAGAAAAGTTGTGAACCGATTTTCTTATTTCTTGCACGAGAAGATCCGCAGTTCAATTCTGGACAGGTAGCCAGAATTTCACATTGATATTATGTTTGCGGCGTGAGTTATTGGCGAAAAACAGGAGGGTTGGGCGAAATCCGCCTCCCTTCCACTGCGCGTGTTAAGACAAAGAAAACCACGAGTCATCAAATTAACACCCAACACCTTGTCATTTAGCCTATACGTCATGTCTGCCTCTACCGCCGGGGCGACTATGGCACTGACCTGTTGACCTGCATCCTCTGCGCCAGCATCCTCCAATCATTGAGCCGGGAGCTGGGCTGGTTGAGGAGCTGACACAACTTCTGGCGGGTCTCGGCCGACAGCCTGGGAACGCACACGGCGGGGAGAGGTTAGTCGTGTAGATATTACACACAATACATGTCTATGAAAGGCATGCATAAACGGTTGTGTTAGAGTAATCGTGACTCGTGAGACTAAAGTGCCAGAAGGTGAAACACACGTTATAAAGAAAAGGGAGCGCTCAGACCTTACTTTCCCAGTGTCCAAAATCAAAATTACACGTGTTTCTGAGTCGCGTATTTCCATTTACCTACATCAAATTTCGGTATCCGCGTCCCCCTATAAGCTGTATCCCCCAAAGTCCCCCTTTCCAGCTCACCTGTATCCTCCTGTATCCAGCGTGGTCACAGTGACCGTCGAAGACGCTCCCGAGGATCCACTCGTATTCGTCGACACACTCGACGTCACGGTAGCCGTAGGCCTGCCGGGCAGCGGACTCGGCAAGGGCCCGCTCTCCGCAGACGAAACCCGCAACATCTGGCGTCGAGTTTGAGTGCCGCCCTTCTGCGAGACGAGAACGCGAGCGGAGAAGGAGAGGCCGTCTCCGCGGGATGCTCCTGATCCTCCACGTCCTACGTGCTCCAGGCTGAAGGAGCAGTGCAGGAGAGGGCACGCGCTGCCCCAGACGTGCCAGAACGGGATCTCCTGTGAAGTACGGGTCATGGGGTGAGTTAGACACGCGTGGTATGACCAGAGGTATGGCGGGTAATGGGCATTGGGTGAGGAAGGGTTATGAATAGATGGGAGCCTTGTGCGAAGTGGTGTGGCCACGATCATTGAATACTACTATTCGGTGACGTAATAATGAAAACGTAATAATGAAAACGTTATAATGAAAACGTTGACGATCAACATTCGCAACGCATCAATCGAAATTTTACATCCATTCAGCACATTAATCCATCCATTCAAAACTTGGATAAACCATGACATGCTACCAAAATAACTGAATTTGATATCAGTTACAATTTGCAACTCTATCTCACCTGATAGTCGCCCTGCGGTTTGCACCTCCATCCGATGCTCAGATCCTCCAGCGACAGGCTCAGCCCTCCTCCCCCGCTCTCGAACGCCATCGTCTTCGGCTTATCCAGCAGCCTGCCGGCCAGCCTTCTTTCCAGCTGAAGCACCGCTTCAAACGCCGCGCGAGTGTCCTCCACCACATAGCACCGGATACAGTACTCTGAGGCACACCCTGCTACCAGGCGGGGGCCGAACGCAGCCAGGCGGAGTAGCTTCACAGCCGGGCCACCGGCCGCTCCACCAACCCCATCCGAGTCATTGCCCGGCTCTCCAACCAGCGCCAGCGGCTGAAGGGTGTCCACGAGCACATGAACCCGCTGCTGGTCTAGGTGGGTGTACACACCGGTGTTCAGATTCTCCTCTCCAAGAAGAGCCAGGTGATGCCACCCGCCCGGCGCCGGCCACTGCTTGTTGCCGCCAAACACTGAGATAGACCAGTTGGTTTTGAGGCTGGCGCAGTGCTGGAAACTGACGATGGCCGGTCGGAGGAGCTGGACGGAGCCCGGCCCGGCCAGAACCACCGGAGACAGCAGGGTCTCGTGCTCTGGAACACAGGGTGTCGTATGTGAGAGAGTTTTTGATGTAATAGTATGCCTACACGCCGATACAATACACACATATTTCACCCAGCGCCCGAAACACGTCTAACCCCTTGAGCTGCGCTTATCGTATCAGTCCCATTAGTCTCCCATCATATTCATGTTATCTACGGTATTTAAAAAAAAAAAAACTTGACCATGATAGACAGCGATAACCACATAACGCCATCCTTAACAGCATACGATGGTTTAAAACTACTTCAAGACCAAGAGCCCTAAGATAGTTACTTTACTGCCCCACCCATCTGTTCGTCCCCAGCCACCGCCGATCGTTACCTCCTAGCTGGGGACGGCCCTTGGAGTCGTTGAGCACCACCAGATAGATTTCCTCCTGTTGTCCGTCGGCCAGGGCACCCTCTGGGATAGTCAGACTGACGCCGGCCTCGGCCAGCGAGAGCACAGCGCCGGCTGACGTCACTGGAATGGAGGGAATGCATTAGATGACGTCAGTGGAGCAGAGATAACACAGGATGACGTCAGTGGAGCGTGGGGAATACACAGACCGGCCTCACTGAAAAGAATGGAATGCACCGGCCGGCGATACTCTGAGAAAATGCATACATAAAATGCATAGTGTGATATTACTGATTGAAAACACGATGTACTGCCGCTAAAGCTATTTCAGTAACAGATCATTTAGTGGCAGGCTCAGCCACTTGATTTCAATCTTTCTCATACTCCCATATAATGTACAATATGTTGATACAGTATTCCTTGAGCATTGCGGCGTTCCCCAGTAAGTTGGTTTTAAAAATTGTATTCAGCCGCAGATACCGGTTCGTTCCAGTCTACGGCAGGGCAGCGCCCTCACCTGTGGCCAACTCGAGGTTGTCAGGATTGACGTCAGATGGCAGTGTCACAGACAGCAGCGACTGACGACAGGAGGCCGGCTCAGAGCCGTACAGGGACTTGCCGTGGGGAGATGTGGCTGAAAAATGAGCATAAACGTTCAGTAGGTGATCCTGCATGATCGCATGATCGTTCAACTGATAAACACGCACGCTGAGCTACATTTACTTCCAGTAAGGCAACATAGACATTTATATCTTCAATTAACAGGAAATAAATATTGCCACGGACACATTGGTAGCAGCATTTGATTATTTCCCATTTCCATGAACTAGCCCATCGGCCATCCTGCTTCTCTCCGATAAAGAATTTCTCTTTTATATAATTTATGAAACAGCACCTGCTAGCGCTCACATCCCACATTGCACCACATGACTGCAACACGTCCTAATCAATTCCCACACACCAAATAATAACGTACCCCTCTTCCCCTCATACCCCCCCCCCCTCCCCCTCGGCTACTCACGCGAGCTGCAGTACGACGAGTGCGAGTGAGCCGTGCCGCTATCTCCGGCCTGGTGAGCCCGGGACACGGGCGAGGCAGCCGTACTAGTCTCACTATCCGCTCCAGAGTTGTGAGCAGAGTCGAGTCGTTTCGGCAGGAACATAGCGTGAGGTTCGTCGTAATGGTGCTCGGATGGCGAGCTGAGCAGTGCTGTGGGGAGAGGGGGAGTCAGATATTGCTGGAAAGAGTGGTGACTGAAGAGATACTGGGCAAAGTTAGCGAGAGTCAGACATGGCTGATGCGTGGTTGTGGAGGAGTCGCTAGGGTTGCTATAGGAGGAGATAGGGTCAGAAATCAGAACCACATGAGAGCTTAGGAGGCATTTGGAGAGTAGATTAAAAAGATAAGGGAAGGTGTGAAAATGAGAGGTAACACAACTCACTGCGTTTCGGGCACGGTAAAATGTTACAGATGCAAGATTCTAATACGTACCATGACGTGAAACGTTACGGATGTACATTCTTCTTCAAATTATGTAAGACGTTTCAGGACAGCACGGTGTGACTAATGCCAGTTGATCAGTGCACGCGATTCAACCATATTACACATTTCTCGTAACGTCACATGCTTTTACGTTAAACACAACGTCAAAGATTTAGATCATTTCAAGTCGCTATTTTTGTTTAGTCCCAGCAATCTCATTTTTTCATGTTACACGATTGTACTGAAAGCTTTAGATAATGCAGAAAAATATATCGCCGCAATCCAAATCTTGTCTGGTATGCCATGATAGCAGTATTGCATGCGACTCAAATTCCTCAAGTGCCGGACTGACGGATTTAACCTTACAATCATTTCAACAGATCCATGACGCTTATACCGTATACTGTTTGTTTGTTTGTTTGTTTTGTTGGGTTAGGCCCTTTCGGTCGACAAGACCATTGCAGAGCCGGAAGGACGATAGGAATTAGGGGGAGACATTGGTCTGGGCAGGCACCCTAGTGAGTCGCCGGGGCTGAGCCCGTCCAGAGGACAGGCCACCCAGCCCCAAGGCACTCACTGCACCCGGCTACGGGGTGCGCTCCCTCAGGAGCAGCGGTGCCGCTCCAAGGGAGCAGCCCGCATGAGATAAAGTTGCCTGTCCAGCCCGGAGGGGGGGTTGCGGCTTGGAGGAGAAGGATTTCAGTATCCTGAGGATAGAAGCACGGATAGGTCGAGTATACTGTTTCCCAAATTCCGTGTACACACCCGTTTTGTTGCTGTTTGGGTCTCCGTAGGAGTAGTCGCTGTTCAGACTCGGTGGGGTCGGGTTCATGATGGCGACGCTAGAGGTCAGGTCGGGCGCGTAACCCAGCTGCTTCTTCGAGTTGTCGTAGTAGCGTGCTTCATAATCTGAAAACAGAACAGCAAGGGTATGGTCAGGTTATACTCAACGCTGGTTAGCATGTATCGACGTTATCGACGAAAGTCTGCGTTATCACATGAACAAAGCGATTTGTATTTTGATCAGTTGAACCATGGTTCTTCGGAATTTGAAGGATGAAAGTTTAAAATCCGATTGGAGGACTAAGTCTTTGTCAAATTTGTCACAAATAGTACTTTATGCGACCTTCACCTCGTTTAAATGTATTTTATGTCTCGCTCGACTTGTTTAAAGGTAGTGTGCCACCTTTGAAAGATTTCCCGTTTTATTTTTCCTAGGATAAGAAGCTTCTGTTTTTACCTAATATCGCAAAAAAAAAAAAAATCAAAAATGGGCCTGGAATAGTGCCTTTTTCGCCTAAAAGTTTATCGGTTTTTAGATATGTATAACAACTGTAGTGGGCTCACCTGCAAACAGGCGTCGGGCAACAATCGCGAATGCGGCGCACTTGTGACAATAAGCAAAGGTCATTATAGTGTTACGACCATACGACGTACGGGAATGAGTTATCAGCTGTCTAATCGTAGACAACACAATGTCGAGCCTTAAACTGTAAGCCCGTATTGGTATTGTTTCTTTTATTTGGCTGTCGAACATTATTTATGGTTTGAAATATGATTTTATGTAAAATAATTGATATGAAAAAGCCGTCTTATAAGTTATGACCCCATTTCACCACACGCAAGTGGCAGAAATGACAATGATCAGCTGACGCATTTTTCTTGGCCGAATTCAGAGCGCGCGGCCCGACGCACCACGCGTATTTGGAAATTCCGACCTCGACGAGCATCAGAAGCCAACTAACAGGCGTGTTCGAAACCGCAGGAGCTGATGATGAACGGGTTTATCGAAACTTGATTGGATGAGCATATCGGTAATAGCGATTTCAGTGTGTGCATTTATTGTTCATAGTGGTGTGAAATGTGGTTGGGGTACGACCGACAACCCGTCGGGGCGAATTTCGCACTGGGGTACTCAAAATTTGAAGAATTTAAGACGTTTCCATAAGTTTTGAAGGTATGGATAAGTTCTAAAAATCCGGTTCTCCTTATCCGGGTCATTAACTCCATATGGTCCAGGAAAGCTGGCACACTACCTTCAAGCACGAGTTTATAAATGAGCGAGTGAAACGAGTTCATTTATAAACGAGTGCTTAAAAGTCATTTAAATAGCCTTTAATCTGTGTTAATGAGTAATCACAAAGCCAATCGACCAAGAAAAACAAAATCGAACACTGTAGCTCTAACTTACGTTTACTATTACGAAGTACGGAATAAAAGGCACCTACCTCGCTCAGTAAGACCGTACATGCTCTGTCCCCTTCCCTTCCTTCTGTACAGCTTCAGAGCGAGCAGAGCTATCAGTGGGAAGACCACCAGAGCCACGGCCAGGCCCACGTACAGCGCTACGTCGGTCTCAGGCACCGCGCGCGCTCCTGAAACAACAACAATAACACGTCAAAATGGAACAACAAAACATGACGCAGCACCACAAAACACGTCATAAATTATAACATAACATGATGTAACTCTACGCAACACATCAACGCTTGTGTAGCACAACTAAATAACCATTGACACACCTCTTTCGGGTTGATGGAAGGCTTCAAATTTCAGTAAAACACCGCATAAACGCAGGCTCAAAGCAGATAAACCGATATAAGGGCTAGGGAGGGGCGGAAAAACACGAAATCCGAGCCAACACAGAACAGAGGAATCAGGACAGTTCAGGACACCGCCTCACACACGCCCGATCTCAGCGCAGATAGCATTGTAACGCGTCGCGTTTGTCCCATTTCTGCGCGCCGCGCCGCGTTTGCGCCATTCCAGCGCGGCGCGGCGCTACTGTCACCGACAGTGAGGGAAAAACAAACAGACGCGTCTCGCTCGGTCCGACCAGCGATCGTATCTCATTGTGGGGAGACAGCTCCGATTTCTGAACGGCGCCGCCTGAAAACGCTGCAGGCCGGGAGCTGTTCGGACGTTTACTGATCGCCGGAACGATACTGAGCTGGGATGGAGATATCGAATAACCCGTTGTGAAGTTGTCTGGCTCAGGGGTTAGTTCTTTCGCCCTCTAACAGCCATCCGTGCTCGATTCCCAGACAAAGCACGGGAACTTGTCGCTAAGAACAGTGTGAACTTTCGGTTAGTGCTCGGTCCTAAGAATAGTACCTACCTATTCCACAATCAACTAGCTAAATGAGGGCCGCCACTGCATAATCAAATTGAGCTAATCTATTTAAATGTTCTTCAGATTGTCCTACATCCGCCATCAAGACAAAAATAATTCTCGTCTAAGCGCACCTCTTACGCGGATTAGAACAAAGCGTCTTCTCCATTATCTTTCCAATGCATCCCAACTCAGCGTTGGGCGCTGCCATCTTCATTGTGAGACCAGAGACCACGTCAGCACGACGTACCCTGGATTAGTCACCGCCTCCCTCCCTCTCTCCCCTCTCTGCCTCGTCGCGTCCCCGCCCGCACCCCGCCAGCCGGGCCCGGGCCGGGTCCCAAAAATCTACAGACGGAGCCGACTCTCCCCTTGTGGCCCGAAGACGACGGCGGCGGCGACCGCGGCGGGGGAGGCGTGGTAGTAGTTACTCACTGAACCGTGTCTCCTTCCGGACTACGGAGATGTGTCTCCATCGCCGGAGAGGGGAGACATCGTAAAGGAGACGCGCAGTACACGCACAATGGGGCCGGAGCGCCCGCTGATGCCAGAAGAAATGGTCGTTTCTGCAGGGGTGAATCATAGGGCCATTTCTCTGTGCCAACGGGAAATGGACGCGTGACTGTGCTTTCTGCTGCTGTCGGTTATTAGTGTCTGATTAATATGTAGTCTTTTATTTGTTGGTGACACATGCAAGCAGATTCCGTACGGAACTTCTAAAATTCATTTTTCATTCAATTATTTACGTCCTTAGCTATGATTATTTATTAATCAGTCGAAAAAAGTTTGTCCTATGTTGCAACTTGCAACGTGGTAAAATGAATTCATAAATTAGCAACAAAATAGTCGTCAATGTCATGTTTAAACACACGTGTGATTGTCCCGATGGCTTTCTTCCTAGCATACCCATACGCAGAACCATGAGACACCCTTTGCCGTAGCCCCCCCCCCCCCCCCACCATCTTCCCCACCCACCGGAGCGGCATTTAATCACTCCATGTTTACCCGTTTACCCTTACGCTCCATACACGGCTTCTGTATGTTTACTAGAGGCCTGTTCACACTGGTGCCGATAAACAGAGACACGGCGGAGGGAGTCATTAACCATTAACCACGCCAGCTGAGTCATTAACTGTCGCCCAGCGAGTCATTAGGAGGCTCCAGTTTCACGACGGGAAGGGGAGAACATGGGCTTACTCCCCAGGGAGCGAAGAAAAGGAAGCCAGGTTCAGAAGTTCATACGGTTCCGAAAAGAAGACTCTGTCATGGACGATAGATGACGCGATACTTGGAGCGCAAGACAACGCAAGCTCGCACAATGTTTGTCAATAACTAGGTAATAATTCGTAAATAAATACAAAATGAGTGATGACTTGATGACTTGGTGAGTGAAGCCTAAGCCTTACCTTGATTGGTTCGGGTTGTCTCGAGGCCGCTTACTACGCCGCCTGAAAAAGAAAAAAGTTGTTGGATAGGAACATTTCAGCTCCGAAATACAAGGGATTCCAAACAAGCATAAAAAGCGCACACCTTGTGGATCTTCAACGCTCTGCATTTTTAAACATCCAATCCATAAAGTGTGGCACCTATGCCAGTATGCCCTTGTGGTATCAAATGAATTTTTTTTTACAAATCATTAACCAGTCAGAGCAAACAATTTTCCAGCTGCACTCATGAAACACGACACGAAATTCTTCATTGTCACATCCCGCATCTCCCACCTCTTCTCACACATCTCACATATTCTCGCTCGCTAACTCCCCTGAGCTGCAGTGAGCACACCTTCTCACCCACTCTCTCACCTGAGCACATATCCCGTGAGCAGTTTCGTGAGATCCTATCGGGTCCCTCACAGGGCGTCCCTCCGTGCTGCGGGGCCGGGTCGGAGCAGGTGCGGTGACGGTACTGGCGGCAGGACGAATCACACGAGGACCACGGCCCGTAGGAGCTCCAGCCGCCGGCCACCGCTGAAATGGAGAGTCATAGAGTTAGTCAATACAGTCATATATGGACCACAGGCCGTGTTGACCGCAACCGCCGGCCACAGCTAAAAAGGAGAGTCATACAGAGTCAATATGGTCACAAACCGGAGATAGACTGCACTGACACCACCCGTTATAAGCCGCAGCTCACAGAGTCAATAAAGCCGCAAATGGACTAAGCGCTGTATCTAGCACCCCTTGCCGTAACCTGTGAGTAGGTAAACACAGCTCACAAAGGGACAAAAGAACTGACTCCATCTTGACTAGCCCATGAGTCAATGAAGAGTCAATCCACAGCCTCCCAACCGACCCATCCCCTACCATCACCCCTCCCCCCCCCCCCCCCCCGAGCACCCATCAACCAATGTCCACCGACCACCCAAAAACCCCATCATTCCCGAGACGCCGTTCCAGCCTATAAACCCAACGTCCGTTTTTCCGAAAACTCAGCGTCCAACCACCATCTCCGACTGCCTTCACCGACCATTTACGGAGATCCGGTTTCCGTTTACAGATTTATGTGGCGAATCGGTCCAGTTAGCCGTTTCGGTCTATTACAAGACACGGGGTATTTATTCGTGGCAGAGTCACTGTCCGAGGACGGGAAGCGGGGAGGGAGGGAGGGAGGGAGGGAGGGAGAGGGAGAGGGAGAGGGAGAGGGAGAGGGAGAGAGAGAGAGAGGGAGAGGGAGAGAGAGAGAGGGGGAGAGAGAGAGAGAGAGAGAGAGAGAGAGAGAGAGAGAGAGAGAGAGAGAGAGAGAGAGAGAGAGAGAGAGAGAGAGAGAGAGAGAGAGAGAGAGAGAGAGAGAGAGAGAGAGAGAGAGAGAGAGATGGGGGACAAAAAAGAAAGATAAAATAAAGCGTATTCTTTCCATCCTCCATAAACCTGTTGGGCATTCTGTATGTTCATAATAATTTTTTTTTTTGCATATTCGTAGTAGATTCCAACTTATGCGTAATCCATTTCTAGCACGCCCGTCGCCCGCAAAACATTTTACCACACGCCCTTTGGCCTTAGTGCATTTTCCCACACACCCGTGCCTACTGCATGTCTTGCAGTTCCCCCTACTCACGCGGACAGAGTGAGTTACAGTCGGCCGCCTGTTGTGACGGTCCGACACACTCCCTGCCTCCGTTCATCGGCGGGGGGCTGTCACAGGAGCGGCGACGGACCATCACGCCGGGCCCGCAGGCCGGCTCACAGTCGGACCAGACACCCCAGCTGGACCAGCCGCCATCCACTGGAAATAAAGAGAGGGAAAGGGTTGTCATATTAGACCAGCCGCCGTCCACTGGAAATAAAGATAGAAAGGGGTGTTATATTAGACCAGCTGCCGTCCACTGGAAATAAAGATAGAAAGGGGTGTTATATTAGACCAGCCGCCGTCCATTGGAAGATACAGGGAAGGGGGAGATGTTATACTGAACCAGCCACCGTCCACTAAAAAACACAGAGAGAAGCCGGGGATATATCATACTGGACTATAGCCGCCGTCCCTTGGAATGAAGATGGAAAGGGGGTTTCACCGTGGCTGCTACCTCCCACTGAAATGCGAAGAGAAGGAGATGTCGCACTGGACCGAAACCTGGACTAAACTGATAGAGTGGGAGGGGGTGTTTTTCCATGGGGCTTAGTCGGACAACACTCAAGTTGGTCAGCAACAAAGATAGCAGCAATTAGTTAGGATGAGAGACACTATACGAACATAGCAGTAATGTCTCAGACAGAGCAGCTCCAGCTTTCCTACTGGGTCGTATCGATAGAAACGTACTTCACAACAAACTCCCCAGCACAAATAGTCCATTTTCATCACTCTATTTTCACTTTACCAACCAATTCAGACAGCATATATCACTGGCACTCACACCAGGTAATTCAACCGTGAACTGTTTTGAAGGAGGTCCTACGCAGGCCAAACAGATCATTTGTCTACCTCAGGAAGGAAGCGATGATAAATCGACCGCCCGGGTCTCAGAGGGATGTGCCCAAGCGACCTCCGAAAGGGCTGCCAGGTTTATCTCTCTCGATCAATTAGACTGTGTGGCTGTTATGGAGATGGTCAATGGCTAATGGTAGAAACTCCAAGATACCTACTGATGAGAGGAAAACCGATGTGGTGTCATGTTCTGTAGATTGGTAACTAGGTGGATTGGTATTAAGTGGGTTAAAATGTTCGAATTAATGAGCGAGTGCTTGCAGGCTCATGGGTGTCACGCACATCAGTAGGCGATGGTTGTCGCGAAGGACAAAACAGAACTATCATCTGCAGTTGCCGACGCCCGATCAAATGGTTACCACTAGGGTTACCCGCGTGCTCCGCAACGCGAAGAAGGGTTGTTTTTGACCCGTGGACATTGGGTTGGTCTGTGTCGATTTGGTTGGCATCCATTTCGTTCGATTGCTTTTTGACGGCCAAGCATTTTGTAATAAAACAAAAAAGATACATCGCATCGAGGTGCCCGTGATAGTATTATCATGCGTTCTACTTAAGAATGATTCGGAAACTGGCGTGAAGTCTTTTGAGGACCATCGATGAATTTCGGTAAAAATGATTATGTAGTGGTTTGAAACATTTGCATTTTTTTTAGAATATTGTTGCTTGTCATGCAAAAATGTTGGGTGCATCTTGGACAAAATTGAATGCTCTTTCAAACGGTACCAGTTTCAATTGCGAAACATATCAGGTTATGCAGCAAAACCCGTGTAATTAAGAAAGCGGCACATCATCGACAAAAACCATTTTCTCCAGCGATTTATACCACATTGATTTGGATCAATCAGCTTTTCACAATTTTCCCATGAGAGGCGGTACATGTCTCTTGCCAACAGGCGTTGTTTCAACTCGCTCTGTTTAACGGTCACCTAAAAATAAAATCAATTCCAAAATCCCCCCAAAACCGCAATTTTTCAAATAAAAGTGCCCTCTCCGGTGCACGTGGCGCGTGCTATCCTCTGCATTGCACACCATTCAATAGCCCGTTCAATTCTGTACACGATGCTGTTTTCCCCGTGCCGGTCGGACCCCTGGTCACCAAGATATTGCACGGGAACTGGACCCGTGTCGGCCAAAATTAGCCGTTTTCGCCCGATTTCGCACGCCGATTTATACATGTAAAGTCTACGACGCGAATTTGCACTTTTTGAGCACGCGCCACGCGCTCCCTATCAATCCGATCGAGCTGAGACCCCTCAAAGGCACGTCGCGCATCCTTGATCTATAAGTTGTGCAAATTTCACCGGGCTAGGTGCAACGGTCTGGCCTGTAGTCCACGCAAAGCAGCACCAAGTCGGGACCTCGGTAACGGACAGACGCACCCTCCTCAAATAGTAATATCATGGATTACTTATATGGATTGGAAACTCCGCCGATTTTCGCGACATCGGGTACTGCGCATGCGCAGATCGACGTACAGGAATCTCGCCAGTGCCACAATGGCGGCGGACGGCAGTTCTTGGTGCGGCGCGATTAATTGCAAAAACTCGAAGAAGAAAAACCCTGATCTGTCTTTTCACCGAATCCCTAGTCATCCTGAAAGGTTACTGTACTTATAGGAAGTGTTTTTTAATGGAAGTTCGATCTAGCATATGAGTAAAAAGCCTATGCATCACTGGCGTCGTTGGAGGTTTGGGCCAGTACATATCTATAGTCAGGAGATATAAGCCTTTTTTTCCAGTGGACCACTTCAAGAGGTTTATTATTTGTCAATCATTAGCTATTATGCTTAGCCAATATGGCAGGACCTTGGACACTTGTCTGCCAGCATTTTTGTCAATGACAACCCCAGGCCAGCTCAGCTGACCCGCCCTGGAGGAGGTCAATCAATGCATCCCCCATCCATTAGTTTTTCCTTGCTAAGGTCATATTGCCACCCTGACTGCTGATTAACCTTGTTTTAATGGGACTACAGTCATTGAATGACTGCTTCCCTACTTCTGCCGTGCAAAGGGAAAAGAGCATAAGTGCGGGCTTCCACACACAGGAAAGGGGATGCAAGTGCATGCATTCACATTTTGTTTCGGTTCATTTTTTTCTGTGCCCAGCAGATTGCGCTTAAGTTTTTTTTTTTTGCTTTGCACGACAGACTTGTTTGTTGTTTTAACATGTGCACAGGCACCATCTCATTGGTCTTCAACAATGCGTTAGGATCATTCCATGCATGGAGGTCAAGGTGGAACTAGGTCACTGGGAAATAGTTAAAATGTGTCATTAAAGGGACCCTCCCACCTTAACATTAGTTTTGAGTTGAGATAGCCAAGTTTGCGGCCAGGCTCAGAAACCACCATTTATCCTGGTCGCAACCCCCGCAGCTTTATGGTGTTCAAGAAATTTCTTCCCTTTACTTGCAGGGTGGGACCAGCGTGGTCCCTATCTCTTAACCATTACGGGAATCTGATGACGTCATCAGGCTTTCGAACGTCCGTTAAATGTTTGACTAAAACGTTTTGTAGCACGCGGTGGTATATGCTGCTTTGCGCGCAACAAATGCCGCACTTTCAAATAAAGTCGCTAGGAACAGCGGAGATCCCAAAAAGTAAACAAAAGTATAAGTCTAATATCTTGAAAACCGGTGAATATTTTTCGATGAAATTTGGTAGATATGCGTTTTTGCTCTTTCTGAACCGAGCGACATCACTTTCATGCCAATTCATTAACTTTTTTGAAGGTGGGAGGGTCCCTTTAAGGCTTCTACCATATTGATGCTGCACCCCCCCCCCCCTCCCCGCCAAGGCAATGGGTGGTAAACATGAGAAGAGAAGATATCATGAAGAACTCAACAGACTATCTTCATGTCAACATCGGCCAACTGGGCTCTTTGAGGAGTGAGTATCAGATAGATGAGAAATTGGCGTTCTTTATCGTTGATCTGCCTAACCTAATGTTCTTCTTGTCTTAGATTAGGCGGCATGCGCGCGATCCGGCCAATCGATGTCGACACGAGTGTTTGGAATTCAGATGAGTGAGGATTGGATTACTATACCGTGTCCACGCGATCACAATCGATGTCTATTTGAGTGTTTTGAATCACCTGTGATTTCGAAATGAATATCATGATGCCATGCGTCACATGTGTTTGTGGATTACACGTAAATACAGAATGACATGCAATGAGTGGAACGATGTTTGAACTAACAGAACTATGGGAGCAGAACTATGGGATTGTGAACTATGGGACTCACGGGTTGTGAGTCACAACAGCTCGCCGTCACAACTTGTGACGGCGAGCTGCGACGGCCTACTAGTGACCGTCCGAGTGTGTGAAAAGCGGCGCCTGGGGACGCCTGCCCAACCCCGGTGCACTGTCACCGCGGGGAGACAAGCTACTAAAGCCCGGTTGGTAAGTGGTATTGGACGTGCGGTGAGTATATGTTACATATTTCCATCGAAATAGTTACCGGGTCACCGCCGATCAGCGTATTCCTGCGGGCGAGCCAGCCGCCGGCCGAGCACATTCCTGTATGTCGATATTCTCGCCGCTAGATGGCAGGCGCGCACCAATGTCGCGGCTGGTAATGGCGCACGCGGGGAGTTTCCAATCCATATATAGTTATCCATGGTAATATAGACAAGCGGCTGCGCCACTTGCTTTGCTGCGTGGTAGAAAAAATTGCGGCACCAGCCAATTTGCTTTCGAATGGTGTTTGATTCATGTCGATGTGTCGTCTAGAAGCATAGATATGGACGGAAATGTGAAGAGAATTTAAAAAAGAACTGTTCTGAGGGCGTTGTTGGATGAAATTTGGGTGATAAGGGGTCAAGACGGGTCAAAGGGGTCAGCCCCGGTCACTTTGGGTCAGGTCAGGTCACATAGGTCACCTCTCGTCCGCTGGGATCAGCCCGGGCCACTGTTCTGCTTTTGCCTCCACCACTACCCCTACCCCTACCGCTACCCCTACCACTACCCCTACCCTACCACTACCCCTACCACTACTCCTACCCCTACCACTACCCCTACCACTATCCCTACCACTACCCCTACCCCTACCCCTACCCCTACCCCTACCCCTACCACTACTACTACCCATACTCCTACCCCTACCACTACCCCTACTACTACCACTACTACTACCCCTACCACTACCCCTACCCCTACTACTACCCCTACCACTTCCCTACCCCTACCACTACCCCTACCACTACCCCTACCAACACCGCTGGGTCATGTCAGGTCACAGAATAATTGGATCCAATCAGTACTAAAATATCAGACTTAGTGTTCCCAGCCCTGCCCCTATTCGTGC